TAAAATATGTATTACCTATGTCTCCCTATTTTTGCATGTGAGTGTGTGTGTGTGTGTATGCGTTTATCTCTGTGTGGTAATTTAGCAATAGGTGCATTTTATGATATATTTTTGTTGTTGTTGTTGTTGTTCTTTCTTCACCGATTAGAATGAGATTCTGTTTTGTTCTTTTATATAAAAATGTTATGTTTCTATCTGTCTTTATAATTCTCTTTGTCTCTCTCTCTCTCTCTCCACACACACACACACACACAATCTCTCTCTCTCTTGTTCCATTTTGTCTTTTGTTTTAAACTTTAACAAACCGATTAGAACTGACACTTAAACAACTTTTGTTTCTTCAGTTGCTTTTTTTTTCGCTGTTACACTTTTTTTCTCCCTCTTCCTCTTTCTCTTCCTCCTCCTCCTCCTCTTCTTGTTCTTGTTCTTCTTCGTTCTCGTTTGCCTTCAGTCTGTATTATTCTCCTTCTTTCTTTCTTTTTGTTTTTGTTATATATTTTCAATGCTATTTCAACATTGGAATGATGTGAAGTAAAACGTTTTACTAAGCATACATATCATACAAGTTAATTATTCTGAATATTACAAGATAACCAAGTATCTATAGATAGTTTTTTTTCCTCTTAACTATATATACTACTCATAATCCTAAGCTTATGTTTCTATGGTCAATGGGGTAATATGTAATGATGTATATAAGAGAAAAACAAAACAAAAAATAGGGGGGGAGAAGAAAAAAGGAGAATGAATACAATGTTAATAGATGATTTTGACATCGGCATCTAAAACAACAGTGGTGGCAAGTAATAAACGTTTTGATGATGATGATGATGATGATGATGATTATCATTATAATCTCTACATCAATTCCTTTCAACCTTTGTTCACAACAATCTTTACAAGTAAAATTTAAACACACACGCACACACGTACGCCCACACACATACATACACACACACATCTATATACACAGCAGGGTAACTTAGTAATAAATTTCAACTTAGTCCTGTCATTTCACCACCTATTTATACAACATCATTCAGTTGTTCAATTCTTTCAATTGAATTATTTTTTTTTTCATGTTATTTCTTTTCTTTTCTTTTTTTCTTTTTTCTCTTTCTTCTTTTCTTTTTTCTTCTTATTCTTACAACTTCATTTCTTTTGTTAATAAACATTGTCTTGTTTTTTTTTGTTTGTTTTTTCATAGTTACTTACTATTGTATGTATATCATGATAATAACATGATAATAATTAGGATTTTCTTTTTCTTTTCTTTTCTTTTCCTTTTTTTTGGTTGTTAACAGTAGTATAATGAAAAGATATAGATTTAATTTTCTTCATTTTTTTTGCTTTAACAAACTGACTTGTTGTTGTTGTTGTTGTTGTTCCATTTGCGTTACCCTTTTCCTTTACCTTTTTGTATCTTTTAGAAATCATTTCAAACTATTAAAAATATTATAGTTGATTAACACATTGAAAATTTAAATAATAATAATAATAATGATAATAGTAATCCTTGTTCTTTCAGTTACCGTTTTCTTCTAGTTACTATGTCTATTACACATTGTGCGGGAATGTGTGCGTTCGTCTCCCTGTCACTCTGTGTGTGTGTGCGTGTGTGTGTACGTGTATGTTCATTTGTTGTGAAAACAATTTTCTTTCTTTATCTATTTTTGGTTTTATTTTATTTTGATATGCTTTGTGTTGAGAGATTGAGAGGGTATGTGTGTGTGTGTGGTGAGTGAGTGAGTGAGTGCGAGAGAAAGAGAGAGACATAGAGGGTGTGTGTGTGTGTGTGCATATATTGGTGAATAGTTTAAGTTTTATTAATAACAAACGCCAAACATGATGTTGTAAAACATAAAAACCAAAAACAAAAAAAAAAAAAATAAAAGATTACAACCTATCAATGTTAGAAAATATACAACAATAGATATGCAAATATTGATATCATTAGTAACAATGGTGTTAATGCCACCAAGAGATTACAATATAAATTGTCAAAATAATAATCATAATAATAATCATAATAATAACAGATTATCATCCTTACAACTGTGTATTTTATATTTGTATTAGTTGTTTGAATGAATACATATTCGTACATGGATGTATTTGTACATAAGTGTGTGGGGGGGTGGGGGTGGGGTGAGTGAGTGAGTGACTGCCTATAAACATGTAATGTTCATATGTTCTTATGTATAATGATAGACTATTATATGTTTCAAAGATTACATTTCATTAAAGTTAAACTAAAGATGAGACATGAAAAGAGAAAAAAAATGAAAGAGGAAAAAGAAGTAGAAGAAGTAGAAGAAGAAGAAGAAGAAGAAGGAAACAAAAGACTTTAATTACTGTTACTATTCATAATAATCTATGGGTAATTTCATACAAATTGTACATGTAAATGAAACATTTTTCAAAAAACAAAAAAAGTAATCTAACATATAAACCATTGAAACATTGAGAAGAAGAAGTAAAACAGCTATTGAATGAATAGAATACTTAATAATCAATAGTGTAAAGTACTCTTTCTTTGTGATTGTAGTTAGTGGTAATGGTGATAATGATGGTGGTTAAAATGTACTTGAACATATCCTCTTCTTAAAGTTTATAATCAATAAGCCCTTAGATATAAAATTTTATTATTATTTTATTTTAACACATAGATATTGGTACAAAGAGGCACTAGATATATATGCGCCATACAGATGTCATTTGATATGTGTGAGGGCTTTGATACTGCCCGGGTGCCCAGACCGAACTAAGTGGTTTTCTTAGGAGGCTACACTCTGAGCCTTTGACCTGAAGATCTGATCCACAAGGCAGTGAAGCATCGTAAGGAGATGTAGTCCTATGATAGCCGGTGACCAAGAAATTGGTTCATACGCCATTTGTTCCTTCAGGTTACTGGAGCCAGCCCATGTGCACCATTGGTTTGGGATCCGGTCAAAGCGTCGGACATTCGTTTTTCGTCCTCTCATTTTCGTAAACAATACCCCCGCCACGAGAAGGCAGTGAGTAAGACTTCCCTATCAGAGGCTATATACGCGTGGCCATGTGAGAGCATTTCGAGAGGGAGAGAGGACTTTACCCACCCTCGGCCATACCAGGGCATTTGGGGGCAAAAATATGGAACGCTTCACGATTTTGCGTGTCATCCTTGCGCAGGGGCCATGCTAATCTTCTTTGTATCGTTCCAATTTTTATTATAGGTACCGCCGAAGCGAGTACTAGATATAAAATGATAATGGATAAGTGCATAGATAGCAATAAGCAAATACATTCTGTGTACAAAATTGTAGAGTTATTTAATAAAATATGAATACTATACGTTTCATACTTCATTTGGAACAATGTTCATCAATTGGCTGAGATTTGATTGTTCCTTCATTTCCACAGTAATCATTCTCTGTTCCTGTTCCCTTGTATACCATCTTCTTAACCTTCTATTGATAGGCAGTTGGTTTGTGATTGATGTATATCTGTTGACCAAAATATCAATTGAGTGTCTGACCATATATTGTTCTTTCAGTTTCACAGTGATCATTCTCTGTTCCTGTTCACTTGTATACCATCTTCTTAACCATCTGCTGATATGCATTTCATTCGTGATTAGTGTTATATACTACTTGTATCTGTCGACTATGTTTATTGTAAGCGTAAGTTGTGTACCCTTCTTATCCCTATCATTACATGTCTGTAACGTATTTTTATATGGTGATTACTTACTTACTTACTTAGTTACACATGTTACTCTCAGTGGAGAATGGACCACCGACCAGCATTTTCCAAACCACTCATACTGTACTGGGCTTTTCCTCATAATTCTATCCAATTAGTGTTCATTCTTCTTATGACTGTGTGTATTTCTCGGTGTAATGTGTTTATCTTTGATCTTTCTCTTCTTCTTTGGCCTTGACAATTCTATGTGAGGATTTGCCTTATAACGTATCTGGGTGCCTTCCTCAATTTGTGTCCTATCCACTTCCAACACTTCTTCCTGATTTCTTCTTCTACTGGTTTGTTCTTGTTTGTTCTCTCCTGCAGTAGGTTGTTGCTGATATTGTCTGGCCAACGGATTCAAAGTATTTTTCATAGACAACTGTTATTAAACACTTGTATCTTCTAGATGATAACTTTCGCTAAATAAACGCTAACAAAAAATAGTTTATATGGTTATAAATATTGATTACGTTTAGTTAAAAGGGGGTTGGCTCACATACCTTCTCCACTCTGCGTTATTTCATTTCTCTTTGCTGTCTCTTCTTCGCTTCCTTCACTAAATCCTTCTGATTTTCTGTTCCAATCAAAGATTGTACAAAATAATCACATTCAAAAATCCATTCTCGTATTTGACCTATTTAGTTACGTTATACACTAAAGCGAGTTAACTCGATGAGTATGTGCGAGGATAGATGACATATATATATATATATTGATAACATTCATACGATCTAATTGGAGTTGGATAAAGACCGCACAAAATAAACACACCATTTTTTTCATGATATGAATTCAAACTACTTATTTGACGATTACTTAGTAGTACTATATCAACTATAGAAAAATGAACCCAATAAAAACTTTTTCAACATTAATAAATCTCACTAGTTGAAATCATGAGTCAATTGAAGCTAGATCACCATGGATAACCTGGAAGCACTGGATGGCCTTTTCTTCCTAGTGTAGGATTCCTCAGTAGTGTACATCCACGATCCCACCCGTGACGGTGGTGTAATTTCGTGGATTCGTTAACGTTAGACATTAACATCATTCTATGCCAACTGGCTCAATGGTTTGATGGTTAAGCGTTCACGCACGACATTGATAGGTCCTGCGTTCAAATCTCATGAGGTATCCCATACTTGGATGAAACGGTCATTTAGTGCTTCCAGGTTTTCTATAGTAATCTAGCAACAATTGACTCATGATTTCAACTTTCACAAGACCCATTCTGATATTATTCAATGTGTTTACATATTCTTTTCAAATTATAGATAATACACTTTCATCTATACCACAATTAAGTCCATCATTAAGTCCAATTAATGGATATAATAGAGAGTTATTATCTTCTAATCAAAATGATAATATCATTCAAAATATACCAATTATCTATTCAGAACAATCTATAATCAATAAAAATGAGCAAATTAAAGAAAAAAAAGAAGAAGAAGGCGAAAAAGAAGAAGAAAAAGAAAAAGAAAAACAACAACAACAACAACAAAAGATTAAAAAGGATGATGATTCATTACATACTAAACAATTATTCAATGACAAAGCGGATCATGTTATTATAATAGAAAACAAAGAAAAAGAAAAAAAAGAAGAAGGAGTAGTAGAAGAAAAAGAAAAAGAAAAAAGAGTAAACGAAAAGGAAAATAAAGAAAAAGAAAAACAACAACTAGAAGAAGAAGAAGAAGAAGAAGAAGAACAAATCGAAATAGAAGAAGAATCAATAAGAACTTGTCCATTTGAATTAAACAATAATAATGATAATAATATGTGCCTTAATAATACATCAAATTCATTATCTTTAACTTGAATAATCGTTTCTTTTCTATATACAACATGATACTACTTATTACTTCAAATGAAAATTGATTTTTTTTGTTGTTGTTGTTTCTCTCTTCCAATCAATAAATTTCGGTGAGATTATCATTTATGAATGAACCAATTAGATTAAAGATAAAAAGTCTTGGATTTTCGGCGCGAAATTTATTCATTTAAATAAATAGAATTTTGATATACTAGCTAATCTCAATTTACTGATGAAAATTTCAATTCTAAATTGTATATTATAATCTTTATTCTTTACAACAAATTTATCATCTTTATATGATTCTAGTTATTAGGTGAACATTTTCTAAGATCAGTCTAATGTTGTTTTTTTTTTGTTTTTTTTTCTTTTTGATCGAGATCATGAATCGATTGATGTCTAATGTCATTAAATGATCATTTATAAATTCTGATCTCATTTAACTTTCTTCAAAATGATTATGTAATAATTTGATTGGAATATATCATTATTTCCATCATAACATCCTATTTCATTCTATATTATATATATATACATATATGATTCATTGGATTGTTTTGAATAGTAACTTTAAGATAAGTTGATTTGTTCTTTTTTTGTGAGAAAGTGTCCTTTTTTGTGTAAACTAGACGATCAAACTATCAATTGATTCAATGTTGTACATAGTTCTGTATAGTTCAAGTTATATATATATATATATATATATATATATATATATATATATATATATATATATATATATAATGAATTGGAAAGTATTGTTGTAAATTGACATACTACTACTGAATATTTATTTATCTATAAAATTGTAACTACTTATTAAATTTATAGTAGTATAAATAGATAAACAAAATTTTGTTTCATCATTGAATTGGTGAAGATATTTTATCTTATGATTATAATTGGTTTCTTTTCTTGCATTTATATTTTATATTTCTATTTATGTATCTATATCTATATATATGCTTTTGCATTTCTTCCCCAATGAAACGTATATAAATGTATATATATACATATATCTATATATATATATCCATCCAAAATATTATATTTCTTTTATAAGATTGTTCTGTATTGATATGGGTTGTTTCAATGACAATTATGATTATGATTGACCTCATGAAAGAGTTGAATTCTTATGGAGGTTTAATGAACGAGAATACACAAGTGGGGATAGTTGAATGTGTTATAAACATGAAATTATACAATTACTTAGTAAAATCTGACAAGCTTACAGTAAATACTTCATTTGCAAAATGTCTATTAATTGTCTCGGACTTTGTGGTTTCTTCATTTGAATACCAATCGATTTCTGTTCTCATTCTTTCTTTCTTGATCTTCATGATCTTCTGCTGCCAGACAGTCTATTCCTGTCTAGGGTTAAATACTACTTGTGTCGATATAAGTAGCACACACCACATAGTTACTAACATAGTCAAGACTTTTAATGATTAAGATAATGAGTCAGTTGAAGCTAGACCTGAAAGCACTGGACGGCCGTTTCGTCCTATTGTGGGACTCCTCAGCAGTGCGCATCCACGACCTCGCCCCCTGCTAGGTTCGAACCCAGGACCTACTGGTTTCGCGCGCGAGCACTTAACCACTAGACGACTGATAATAATCAGCATATGCTCACTAGTGACTGGCTTCAAGAGGTATATCCTGGAGTTCTAGTGAGAAGTAGTGACCAATGGAGTTCAACCAGGTCTGTTGTGGGATAGTAACTCACTGACGACAATGCTGGATGTGTCGCTCAATTTCGTGGATTAGTTGAAGTTAGACATGAACACCGCTGAGTGCCGGCTCAGTGGTCTAGTGGTTAAGTGCTCGCGCGCGAAACCAGTAGGTCCTGGGTTCGAATCTCGCAGGGGGCGAGGTCGTGGATGTGCACTTCTGAGGAGTTCCACAATAGGACGAAACGGCCGTCCAGTGCTTCCAGGTTTCCTATGGTGTTCTATCTTCAACTGAATCATGATTTTAATCATTGAAATTACTACAATCTCCACAAAACCCCTTCTGATAATAGTCAAGACTATTCTGAAGAGGTTATTATGACACTAATCGATTGTGTATATGTATAAATGAATGAAATTCTTTAATAAAAGTCGTATATTACAAGTTAAGCTCTAAACAGTATATGTGGTTGAACAATTTTCCTTTGAAATGTATAATTCCACCTTCTCTAGAACTATAAAGACAGTTCTAACAGTTCAAAGAAGATGAAAGCTCATTGTATTTGGTAGATTTCCATTCACTTTGTTTATAGGATGTTAGATTATTGAGTTTCACATTAACCAATAGTTGTTTGTCTTAAGTCAGCCTTTAAATTATTTTTGAAACTTGTACAGAATAAAAAAATTAAGCGACCTATATGCTTAATTCCACAACAATAGGTCAGTTCAATGGTATCCATAGGTCAACTGAAGAACAACAAATTCAAGGTCGATGAGAAGGATTTTCTATTAAAGTACTTCAAAAAGCTTCATCTTTAAAATGTCTAAAGCTTTGCTGCCTTTGTAAAAGAACATGTGAAGTATTTTGTTTTGGCATGTCAATTATTAATTGTTTATGTTCTTATCAACAAATCTCGATATTCATCAACATTTAACAGTTATTTTTTGTAGAAAATCTGGTTCTCTATTTCTGAGGTCAGGGCTGTAAACTCATCTAATTCATGTAGCAGAAGATATAATTGAGTTTTTTGGTGAGAATACGATTTATGGATGACGTTTGAGAGGTGCTAAATCGACCTTGAGAAAATTCACCTGCTTACTAGGGTCAAAAAGAGTTACATAAACTGTGAGGAACTACGATTAGGATTAAAGGTTATATGTTAGGGTTTCCACCAGGAAATGATATCTTCTATAGTGCCAAGATGCTATTAAATCACTTGGATGAATGAACTTCGCGCCAAAATTTAAGACTTGTTACCGTTAATTTCATTGTTTCATTCATAAGTCGTAGTATCGCTCAGATCTCACACTTACTTATTTGCACCTGTTACTCCCAGTGGAGAATAGACCACCGACCAGCATTCTCCAACCAACTCACACTGTACTGGGCCCTCCGTCATAGTTCTTTCTAATTAGTGTTCATTCTTCTTATGTCTGTCTCCATTTCTCTGCATAATGTGTTCTTCTTTGGTCTGTGGGGCCCGTTATTTTGTCATCAATTAAATCGGACGATGTTTGTTGACGGGCTCTCCACTTTATTGGCTCGAGATCTAACTCCAATTAGATAGTATGAATGTTTGTTACCGCCTATCCACGTATAGTCATCGGCTTAAATGGCGTTAGTCAATAACGGAATTAAGTAACGAGAATGGACTTTTGAATACATATATTCTATATATGAAGCAAATGGAATAGGGAGAAGTGAAACGACGTGCAGTGGAGATGGCGAATAAGCCAACTCCCACTTAACCAAGCGTTAATAAATATTTATAGTTGCACAAAAATAGGTTACATACATGTGATGAGTAATAGTATAAGAAGTGTACATACACCTACGCACTCATATAATAACAGTCAGGGTTGACAAGCGAACAATTAACAAGGTCAAAATATGACTCAAGTAGAATTAATAGATTGGCCTGTCAAAAAGCAAGAATAAGGTATGTGGGCTTGACATACTTACCGACACTACAGGCCTTCCTCTCATCCTTTAGCCTTAAGAATTCCATGTGAGGGCTCGCCTTGTGACGCAGTTGTTTGCTTTCCTCAACGTGTGTCCTATTCACTTCCAACGTCTCTTTCTGGTTTCTTCCTCCTCTGGAATCTGGTTTGTTCTCTCACACAGTAGTTTGTTGCTAACCGTATCTGGCCAACGTATTTAATGTAATTTGTGTAAAAAACCGTTAATAAACACTTTTTTCCTCTGGATGATGGTTTTCGTAGTTCACCAAGTTCCCGCCACTTACAGTAGAACTGTCTTGATATTAGTATTGGAAATTCTGACTTTGATGTTGGTTTACAGTTGTCTTGAGTTCCAGGTTTTCTTCACTTGTAGATATGCTGCTCTTGCTATTCTGATCCGCACCTTCAAATCTTCATCAGATCCACCATGTTCACTAATGATGCTGCCGGCCGGCATATCAACTCCACTTGGAGCCCTTCTAGGGCTTCTACTGGTCCTAAGCCCAGACAAAGGAGGGGTATAGGGCACGCAGCTAGCGACCTCATACTGTGGTAAACTAACTCGCTAAAAAACGCTGGCCAGAAAAAATACCTCAGATCCCATGGATACTTTCGTCATTCCAATATAAAGAAAGTCCATGATTAGTTTCTTCCCTACTTCGGCAATAAATATTATTGTTAATTGTTAGTTATTAAAGGTATGTAAAATATAATTTATATCACATTTGTTCTCACGAATAACAAGGGTATCATACACGTACTCTATGTTTATTTGGAAATCGTTAATGGTTGCCTTTAATTGCTTGTTTTCCAAAATTACCACTAAACCTTCGGGTATTAATGTACAGAAGTTGGGACCCAATGGACATGTTAATCTTTTGTTTGTAAATTATGTCACTAAACTTAAACCTTATTCAGAAAATGGATAGTAATGTAATTGCGTTAAATGGGACGATAATATTCAAATACCAAATATATTATGGTCGATATATTTTCAGAATAATTAAGTGGTCACTATATATGGAACAGAAACAAAAAGCGATTAAAAGCCAAGTGAAGTCACATCTTTGTTATTCACGTTGACTTTACTTATGTATCAAATGAATTCAAAGGTTTACTCAAGAAGCTTTGTATACTTTGAGCAAACTATATAATTGTGCTTTCATTTGCCTTGTTGGCTTAACCCAGCAGTAAATATCTTCACTAATTATCATTTTCTAAAGAATTGCAAGTTGTTCTGTCATCGTTTCAACCCTGTTTTTCTACATGTTATGTTAAGGGCACTTATATCCTTACGATAACTTGTCGATACAGACACATAGGATCACTGAAATTACACTGAACTTCAGTCGAATTGTCTACCACTTTGAATGTATGCTTGCCTATGAAAACTGGCCAAGTGACACTGAATTTCTATTACAATGAAGACGATAATGATCAATTTTATCAGGGCGTAAAGTCGATCGTACAGAAGTGTCTGGGAAAGGACCTGGCGATTCCGACGGGAAGTTTAAAAGTCAAAGTCGAAATGGACAACAACGGGTATGAAGATAATACAGGACGACATGGACTGCGTCTGATTATTGAAAAAAACAGAAGATATGGCAGAATGAACTCGGTCAGCATTCCACTTATCAAATTAAGTAGACTTCGACTAAAACGTCCTACCCGAGCACGACGTTGAAGCCTCTTTAGGGAAAAGTTCCAAGCGGAAACTTTAACTTTACTTTAGGGTAGACCAAAAATATTGACGTGAGTTCAAACAACGTTATATCATAACATCAACATTGCACTTTACGGAGAGATCCATGACAAATCACTCACCAAACAGCTTACATGTAGGAACGATAAAGGTAGAGCACACCTCGGACGACCTCCCATCCAATGTAACCACGACTCCCTCAGTGAGCAGATCTAAGAATGGATTTAACAACACGTGTTTTATGGACGGGACGTGTCGTGTTAACGTGATTTGCACTCCCCAAAATATCAGCTTCCAGATACAAAAAAATATTATTTTTCATTCAAAGAGCCTATCTTGAGACTAATGTCCGATAGATTAATTTTCCTTTGAGTTTCATTTGAATTAATGTTAAACTAAGGTTTTGCCTAAACTTACAATGCAGTGTCCGCAGTTTTTTTTACAATAAAACTTTATTTCTAGTACGTTTTGAGCGTGAAAGACACCAGTTTTTGCCCATGCTGATTACTTTTCTTCCCAGTTGTAAAATTTTTATCGCTAGAAGGTTTTACTTGAATGTAATCACTTCAAACTCATTCAGTAATTCAGATCGAAATCAATCGTGTGGAAGATGTAATACAAATATTGACGTGAGTTCGAGTAATATCATTAGTTTGTAGTGTGGCTGACATGATGAGAGGAAAAATCAATATTCGATTGATTTACTTAATATGAGTTTTATTCATCATTACATTCTTTTTGATTCAATGTAATGATTACGCAATGTAGTTTTTTTTTCTTTTCTCGTATGATATTTTATTCTGAATAATATACAATATTCTTGTATTCTATTGACTATGAACTATACTCAGCATTTGTTATAACTGTGAGTATTTTTCATGTATGTGATTTTATTCTAATTATTAATCAAAACGGGTGTACAATCAATATATAAACGACATCGCTCATTTTCTGGTTGCTGCAGAATACACTTCTTATTTCAAGCTTGGACTTCTCCTTCTAATTAGCTGGGGCTGGGGCACAGCAATAGCTAGCTCACTGGTCATTGGTCATCGAATCTCGTTCTCGTACGCAAACTAAGTGAACTCGTTAGCTTTCAAAACCTAACAATTGGCGACGGGGTAAAAAAATACAATCCAAAGTCAGCCGGTTCTGATTAAGAAAAAAAAAAGACTCTCCCTTCCGATCGATTACAGCTGCTGTTTGAGCGACAATTGGAGTTCTTAGTCAATTTACGCACACAGCTGCGGAATCGCTCATGCTTTGAAAATGCGACGGAATTGGATGGATTAATTTCTCAATTGCGCACCGAGCTAGAAAATAATTGCAGCCCTCATGAATCCTTAGCAAACCGTATTTCAAACGATACAGCTGTCACTCAAGATCCGCCTGGTGATCCAGTGCTCCCCACTCCAGAAACATGCGCGGTAATGGATCCAAACTCCATTATCCCCGAAACAGCATGTAAAGACAGTGATGCATCCAGCTCACAAAAGGACGCCCTGCTAAATGTTCATGGAAGTGTTGCAGTAACCACCCATGAAACAGAAAATAAATCGAGCAGTACAATGAAGGCAGCTGCTCCAAATGGTTCTCATCATTATGTGACACAATTTTCTGACGAATCTTATTATCGAGATTCTGTTTTACCAGAACATAGATCAGATGTTGATTGCCTTAATGATTCATCATCTATAAATGAGGCTCCCAATAAAATTGATAACAAGATTTCAGGAGATTCAAACTCTGATGACCTCAAATTAAATTGCGTTTATCCTCACTACCCAGTCCATTTTACTGGATTCTCTGCTCAATATGTTTTAAATACAGTCAAGCTAATTGTAATTTGGGTATATGAGGACCCAACACTGTTTCGTGGGGGAGGGCGAACTAGGAAAATTTAAATCCGGATATCAACTCCGGATCTTCAAAAAAAGGGAGGTGATATGATGAGAGGAAAAATCAATATTCGATTGATTTACTTAATATGAGTTTTATTCATCATTACATTCTTTTGATTCAATGTAATGATTACGCAATGTAATATTTCTTTTCTTTTCTCGTATGATATTTATTCTGTATAATATACAATATTCTTGTATTCTATTGACTATGAACTATACTCAGCATTTGTTATAACTGTGAGTATTTTTCATGTATGTGATTTTATTCTAATTATTAATCAAAACGGGTGTACAATCAATATATAAACGACATCGCTCATTTTCTGGTTGCTGCAGAATACACTTCTTATTTCAAGCTTGGACTTCTCCTTCTAATTAGCTGGGGCTGGGGCACAGCAATAGCTAGCTCACTGGTCATTGGTCACCGAATCCTCGATCTCGTTCTCAAACTACGTGAACCTCTCCCCCTCTCTCTCTTTTCAAACCCTAACAGTGGCATCGAGTCACGTTTGACTATGATCACCACTACAAGAAGATTGCGTACCAGAGCAGGCTATCTCGTGGAGGCATCGAAGTAATACCGAGATCGTGCCAAGGAGTACAGGTGGGACCACTGAGCAAACGTAAGTTCGTGCAAGGTCACAAGCAACGGAAGGATGCATGTGCTTAGTACAGTAAAACAACCAATAGCACAATTGGTTATAGTAACAATTACCTCAATTATATTAATCGTGTTCTCTCAATAAAAGTAGATCGCTACAAGTTCTCTGGCAAGAATACGCGAAAGCTGTCAATTACATTGAGGCAAACCGTCTCAAAATAAATAATTAGCCGGAGATGAGCCAGAAGGTAAAACAAAGACCACCTTTACACAAGTATTGATGGACCAGGAGTTAACATCAATAAGCGCATGTTGAAATCAACACTGCCTTAACATCGGGAATCGCATATTCTCCCGGAAAATGGTGTCTCTAAGCGTAGCCTCTCTAAGTGCAAATGTGGTCCCCAAAGATGGCCACGGTAGAGGGATGGGCTTCTGTAAACGGAGCAAAAGGAACAAAAGATCGTTGTTCAAAATGTTCAACGGTTCATTTCTCTTAAAAACTTAGTTACTACGCTGGAATTGAAATCTACCCTCAAGGTTACCAAACCGACTAATAAAAGTTTAGGATGTCTGAACTAAAATACAGCTTTCCGAATAAAATACACCTTAACCTTGGCGTACCCAAAATCCTGAGCTACCAACCGAGGTTCGTGACGATTCCATAGCAGTCATGAGTCTAAAAGACTCCTCCGACTCCTCACTCATTGCGCAGTACAACAACAACAGGGAGCCTTGATATGCGTTAAATAAAATGCTTAAACTTCTAAAAACGAACCATAAACGGTCATGCCACTTACTCGAGAGAGTGAATATTTTTCTGACCAGTCATTTCTTGGAATCTGAGAGTAATCTGTGGATCTAGTTAGATATACCGTATTCAGAACTCAATTTAGTCAAGCGTGTCCTAAAGAAGTCTCACAAAAGAAACATCATGGTTCTAGTTACGCTAGAATACACGGACTGTGAGTATGAAGTCTATGATATTCAAAGGTGGAGGTTTAGTAGGGAAGCTCCTGAAGCTTAAAGATATATTTTCTCAATATTATTAAAACTGTCCATGAAGAACGAGGGTACTAGAACCAGACTAATAAAGGTAATCTTCACTCCTTCTAGAAAGATTCCAAATAGTAATAGTAAGGGTAGCTGCTACCCTTATGATATTCTGTATCAACATATGCCTGTGATTGATATGACGGGACGAAAAGTCAATATTTGATTGATTTACTCATTATGATTTTTGTTCAACATTAATTCTGTTTTAATTCAATATGATAAGTACTCAGTATGGCATTTGTTCTGTTTTCCGAGTATGACATTTTATTCTGTACAACATACGATATTCTTGTATTAAGTTAACATGAACTATACTCAGCATATGATCTGTTCAAACTAAGCAATTTTCATGTGATTTTATTTTAACCATTAATCAAATATGGGTGTATGAATCAATATATAAATGAATATATATCCGAATAGTCTTGCCGTGAATGTTCGTACTTCTGGCTGCTTGTGGAATATATTTCCCTCTCCCGAAATTGAACTTCTCTCTCTAGTTAGCGAAGCTGGGACGCGTCAGAATGGCTAGCTTATCCGTCGTTGTGTCACGGAGTCTACGTCCCATTCTCAGATTAGGTGGACTCGTAATCTCTTCAAACATAGCGGTGATATAATAGAACCCACATGGGTTCCGACGGGCTACACTATGTCAGTATCAAGCACTAAAATAAATTGGATCTGAACATACCACTTGTCGACTGTCAAGGGTAAAACCGCATGGAAAGGCCTTGGGTCAACCATTCCGAAAACCCTGTTTAGGTAGGTTCCTTAATCATCAGTTAAATGGTCACTGAAAAAAAAACAGATCCAGGACACGCACGCGTTTTAAATCGAAAGCATCAAATGTTTGTATATTGGCCCTTCGAGGTTATCGAACAAAGTGGGTGAGTTTTATGAACTATGTAGTGTTAATAATACTCTTTTGATAGTAATGTCCTGAAAATGGGAACCTCAAACCATCGACAAAGCACCAATAATAGCTGGAAGGTCTTGGTTTTACAATGACAAAGAGAAACTGGAATGGGACGTAGTGTTGTGCAGCACATACTCCACTGCATTGCGGCACAGTTAAACAGTAAAACCATCACGTACAACCTGCAATGACAAGAGCCTCACCCGGAGCTTAATAGGTGTCTCATTGATAAACGTAAGCACGCGGTCAGTGTTTCAGAAACTTCAGCGTCTAAACAAGGATACATCTTTTGGCTTGGACAAGGTTCACTCGCTTATGCTATAAGAGACGTCGTCTAACTTGGCGACACTCTTTAGGGCAACCTTTTCACATTCATCGAACTAAGGAGTGATTTCAGAACATTGGGAGCCAGCAATCAATGAAATAACTCCATGAACCTTCAAGCTAACATCAGATAATGTTCCTTCCGGTATCCTCATTGGTTATAGAATCCCTGTTACCAATTATCTGTATGCTTCTCGTCACCCAGCAAGGTTTCAGGAAGTGTCATTCCTGCACTGCCAGTCTTCTGGCTACGGTAGACAGATGGGACACCATTTTCGACTGCAAGGCGAAGGCGGATGAGTTATGTACCAATTCCTCAGAAGTCTTTGATATAGTCTATCATGGATGTCTTATTAATAAGCTCAAGTTGACAGGGATCAAATAATCACTGATAAACTGACTTAAGTTAAACTTAGATAATTAGCTTTTTAAGGTTCGTATAAACTCCACATTGTCTCAGGCTACGGAATATCCTACTAAGGTTCCCCAGGGCTCAGTGCTAGGACCTCTTCTCTTGTTTGCATAAACAAATAATTTTTCTTAGCAACTATTCTCTGGGTTATTGCTTTTCATCTATGAAGTCAAAACTCGGGAGGAAATTTGCAACCGGGACATTAAGTTAGGACTTCGGGAGGATCTAACTGAACATCAAAGCTAGGCGAATCACAATTGACCTATTTTTAATGCTAAATTGTAAAGTGGATCATGTGAGGCGTGTTATGAAGTACAAATACGGCTTTGGTAAGTCCTCTACAGAAGCACCCCGGGCTAAAAACATCTTGCAGTTTTGACACCCTACATTTCAAAGTCTTATGCTAACTTTGATAGAATGACTCTAGAATCAACCTCACACTGGCAACTATGAAGCACATTTTCGTCCAGGTTCACAATGAAACTTTCCATCTGATTTTTTGACGACTTTATCAGACCCCATTTAGAATACGGAAAAAATATTATTTTCCCCTTCGCTCCATAAGGACAAGGATGCTCTGGCACATACCTATAGGCGATGTCTGAAATCTTCTACAAACCGAAGCAGTTTGAGCAACTCCATCGTAGTCCTTCAAGAAGGAACTTGACATATTCTTGAGGGCTTAGGATATCATTTCACCACAGCTTGCTAATATTTCTCTTTATTTTACCAAGCACATCTAGATTCAAAACTACAGGAGAAGGTTGTCCCCTGGGAGAAGTCTGTCAAGTGAGAGCTTCCTCTCTTCTATCCACAACCATTTGAACCATCTGAATTACTTGAACCTCGTACCCACCCATGGCTTGACGTCCCTCGAATACATGTATTAGGTGCATTTTTTGTACATTGTCATTACCACCACTATCATTCTTATTATTGCAGCCTAGCTCTGCTCATCTCACCATTTGTAACCTACGACTGTCTGTTATTTTCAGACTTTTTTTCTGTTCACATTGCTTGCATAAACTGTCCATACATCAATTCAGACAGTTATTTTCCCCTTCCTCTACTATATTCTGAATTCATCATCTTTCACTGTGCAACGTTTGCAACCAACTAATCTCCTGTCTGATAATATGATGGCCGTGGGCTCTAGCAACCTTACAGACCCAGAATAAACACATTTATTTATAATCAAGGAATATGAACTTCCAATAAACAACGGAATTCACAGGGGCTAGTGAAATCGAATGTCGAGACTGCCCATATTAGATGATGATTAGGACCATGTACAGTACCATAACATTTATTTATTCCTCGAAATAATCGTCTTCTCTTAGCACCTGAACTTTGATTTTATTATTCTTCAGACTGAAATTAACCAACCTCTTGCCTGGTAATATGATAGCTTCTGTTAACCAGAAACCTTAGTTTTTTGAGACAAATGTACTTGAATTACGAGATGAATGGGCCTACAAATAACTGCTTAACCGACTTGAATTAGTCCAATCGAGTGGTTAGACTACTCTACCCATTGGACATTTTCAAACACCTGGAAATGTACAGACAACACGAAACAAGCGCGTGACAAAGATATTGGATATTGGAAATGGGTCGTTTGTGTGGTACGTTGCATCTTGAAAATTTAGTGCACTGTCCTCCTTCACTGTATTTGAGGTTCATTAATTTTTTGGTCAATTCTAATTTGGATTCAGTAATAACTTGCACTGGGTATTGTTTTCTCAGCTTAGTGAACTAGCAGTGGTTTTTATTAATCGTGATTTGTAAAACTGCAGATCTTGTCTACAGTATCCATTCCAGTTGGCCTAAATTATATGGACGACTTTGGTCGATTCAAAAATATCTTTGTAAGCTCACAGCCACTCATCCGGTTCAAAATCAGGTTAGGGATTAAGAGTTAGGTAATCCTAGGGTCTGGTCGACACTGGTAATGGTTTTCAAAGCTAAGGTGACACTAAATAAGCTATTTGTAAGCGAAAACTGTTGGTTTACCTAGTTGTTCTCTTATATTTGCATCCTATTGACGTTTAAGTTGCATAGGTTATGAATTCCCAGCTCATGGAAAGATCACTTACGACAATATCGAATCTGGTATCTTTCATACCTATTTTCTGGTCATGCTCTGTGAACTCATAAACAAAGTGATGTTTGGACTTACGACTGATCATTAGCGGATAATTCATGCCATTTTAGTAAAGGTCACTATCCGTCTTAATTATTACCTACACTAAACTCTGCTATGGCCAGCTGCCTATGATTTTCATGACTTTTCATTTTCGTTTCCCCTCGTATCATTCACCTTTAAGGATTTAAATTAAGTCCATGAAATATTACTAAGATATATGGAGTTTTGACTCAATATGAGTATGAACGGATCCATTAAAAATGACCGAATTTCTGAAACACCAGAAATAGAAATAGCATCAATTTCAAAAATAGTAAACACTTTCACTAGTAATATTTTCGGAAATTTCATGAATTCAGGAAAAGGAATACATCTCAATTCTTACTAGTTTCTTACCATTATTCTCACAATTGCCCTGTAGGAAGTTTGCTTAGTAGATATTATTTTCATGTGACTTTTTACCATGAATATTGTGATTACCATTGTTGATACCACCTCAATTGACCCAACGCTATTCTGCATTATGTTCACGGGGTTCGTTGCATCATATTGACTATAAACAAACACCTTTTAGCTGATTTTCTTACCCTTTTATTCCTAAATGACCTATCGCCCCCAAATGCCCTGGTACGGCCGAGAGTAGGGAGAGTCCGCTCTCCCTCTCCAAATGCTCTCACATGGCCACGCGTATATAGCCTCTGCCAGGGAAGTCCTACTCACTGCCTTCTCGTGGCGGGGGTGTTGTTTACAAAAATGAGAGGACGAAAAGCGAATGTCTGGCGCTTTAACCGGATCCCAAACCAATGGTGCACATGGGCTCCAGTATCCTGAAGGAACAAATGGCGTATGAACCAACTTTTGGTCACCGGTTTCCATGGGACTGCATCTCCTCACGATGCTCCACTGCCTTGTGGGTCAGACGTTCAGGTCAAAGGCTCGGGGTGTGGCTCCCTAAGAAAACCACCTAGTTCGGTTTGGGCACCCGGGCAGTATCACAGCCCTCACACAAATCAATTGAGATTTGTGTGGCGCATATGTATTTGGTGCCTCCCTGTACCTATACTTATGTGTTAAAATAAAAATAAAATGACCTATCAGACTTACAAGTGATATTTTTGACATGCCTAAGTCGTAATCGATGTAAAAGTTCACCATTTTGGCGTAGAACATTATTTCATTCAGTCACAACTGATACGTACATGTCTTATTTCAACCATCGTAATATAATATTTATGGACCTATAACTACAGTTTGACGAAATTATTGAAAACACTTGTTACGTCAAACATTCCTTGTTTTTAATACTCTGTGGGGACTTTTGAACTCATACGAATTGTTAAAGTATGTGTCATTTGTGATTGGATCATGTGTCGTGAATCATTCAACAACTGTCAATTTTTATTGGTGTTTTAATATACCTCTGAACTATCAATTACGTTGTAACTTACCACTTGCAATTTTCGTCATTTTATTTATAGAAGTATGCTTCAGAAACATTCCAATCCACCTCTCGGTTTAGAACGGATTCATCGATATTTTTGTTACGTTTGTGGAACTCTTCTTCCACACAAGTTGGAAGTTCGAGATATATTAGTATGCCGAAAATGTAAATCATCTACATGTATGAATTGGTTCAGTAATATGGATGCAACTTTCAATACTGAAGCTAAATCTGGCAAAATAAACCAATTTAATGATGATGAGTATGAATCCACATCTTTATTCTTTCCATCAATGATTAGAGGAGCTAAAAAGATCCTAAAATCAGAAATTGCTTTAAAGGAGGCTTTGGAGTCACAATTTGAAAACGGTACATCACAATCAACATTTGATGGACCAACTATTAGAAAAGAATGTGCTTATTGTGGCAATGATAGAATGACTTATGTTACACTTCAAACTCGTTCAGCAGATGAAGGACAAACTGTAATATATACTTGTACCCAATGTTCTAAAAAAGAAATTGAAAATACTTGATTAAGTGTTTTGATTTTACCCATTAGTATTTATATTAGTAGTTTAGTTTCGTCAGCTAAATCTTGAGGTTAGTACTTTTATCATGACCCACTAATACGTTGAAAATACAAAGTTTAGCATAAACATCTCTTGCTAAATAATTTATTATCAAACTGTACAACTGTTCTTTGAGAAGGAAAATTTGAGTCTTTATTCTTTGAGGAAATTCAAGTAGTGAATAAACACATTGTCATAAAAAAATAATCGTATTATTGGGCTATTAATTGTACATGATAACAAGACAAGGTTGGATAACTTCTTCAGAATGTGTAAACAGAAAAGGGGTGTCAAACTAATAATTTAATATTAGATTATGTTATAGATGGATTAAGGTAGTTAAATGTGCTTAAATGAAATGATATTGGAAATAATTACAAGCGTAAATCGAAGAATTGTAAAGACGTTTAAACAGAAGGGATTCATTTACAAAGTATGTGGGATAGCAATAATTATAGTGATAATAAATTAACCACAAGATCAAGACAAAGATGGAGTGCTATACCCCACTTACTATCCTTCGTGATTGACCACGATGTCATTCACTAGAAAAATGGAGCTCTGAGTCATTCGAAAATTTAATAGCCCATGGGCCTCCCCACTCCAAATGTGAGATAAGAAACAGCAGCTCATGCTCATGTGATTACCGAAGAATAAACAAGAAAACATCTCTACATCGTTATCCGATTTCTCTTTGACCTCACAGGAAGTTTTTCAAAGAAGCTGACCTATTGTTAATTCACAGTAGCACGGAGATACAGAAAAACCAACCATTATTATCTTCCAGACTTTGTGAATTTCTTTGGATACAATTCTCATTTAAATGAAACCGGAACCCTGCAAACATTGATGGGCGAGGTTGCGAGAAAGCTCGACTTCGCTTCTCAGTACATTAGTGACATCCTCATGTTGAAAGAGATCTACCTAGCTTACTACTTTTCCGACCTTACCGCTAAAAATTCACTAGGTAATGAGAGCTGTTATAATAGATGACATTTTCTAAACCAAGTTGCAAGAAGGCAGATCGCTAAACAGGTTAGCCATCTATGGTAAACCACCCACTGTCGTCATATTGCGACACACTAAGTATTACGATTTAATCATTCAACCGACTTGTCTCGCATGCCAGAACCTCATGCAACAAGTGTTCTAGCCAGTATCGTCTAACTGGGTCATCAAGATACGATTGCTGTGTCATAAAACATGTTATAACACTTGATAGTTCAAGTACTAATATAGACAGTATATTTTCTCCATATAAAATATATAGAAGTTGGACAAAACAGGCAGTTCGACGTAATAGGAATTAGTAGATTTCTCTAAAACGTACAAAACTGCAAACCATCTTTGTTTGATCCATTGGGAATCAATTAGTAAGTAGCAGTAGTGTAATAAGCTAGAAAGACATGTTATTCCTTACACTCAAGATGCAGCTCATAACCAAGTGTATGAACCTACATGTGGTTATTAAGTGTTGTCAGTTCAAAGTGTAAATGTATGTCAAAATATGGTCTGGTTATGCTGCACATACAAGTCATTCTACACAAGTAGTACTGAAACCATGCGAAATAAAGTTTTCATTCAAAACAGTTAGTGTACGCAATTATATATGATAGATTTCTGCTTCTACGCCCCTGACAGTTATTTATTTATTTAAACACATAAACATTGGTACAAGAAGGCTAGTATACTGCACGGGTGCCCAAACTGAAACAGGTAGTTTCCTTAGGGGGCCAATCCCCAGACCTTTGACCTAAAAGGTCTGATGCACAAGACAGTGAAGCGACGTTAGGAGATGCAATCCCACGGTAGCCGGTGACCAATAATAGGTTCATACACTATTTGTTCCCTCAGGATCCTAGAGCCCATATGCACCATTAGTTTGGAATCAGGGTTTCCCAACTAACTCCTCTATGTCAATCCTCTATATCCACCAACCCGGTTAAAGCGCCAGATATTCGCTTATCGTCCTCTCAATTTCGTAAACGATACCTTCAATACGAGAAGGTAACGAGTAGGACTTCCCTGTCATTGGCTGTATATGAGTGATCATGTGAGAACATTTTGAGAGGAAGAGCTGACTCTCTCCACCCTCGACCATATTTGGGTACTGATAGTTCCATACCTAACTATAACTCATAAACTAAAAATTCATATACAAAATGGTATAATAATTAAAATGTACTTCATAATTTACAAAAACCAAGTAAATAAGAAAAAAAAAAGATTCCTATACCAAATTGAAATGAATTAAACAAATGTTTTCCTTTCATAAATAAATAAACATGGATGAATATTGATATTGATTATATTCCAAAGATACCAACTTGGATAAAAATGTATACCATGGAAACAATCAATTTGAAGAATTTGTCTGAAAGATGATAATTCTCGATTGATTATTTCTGTTGATAGTTCTGATATAATATGTGTAAAATTGGAAGAGTTTAATAGATTGAAATTAGTTTCTAGACCTTCTGTTTTATTGTAACTAAGAAGAAAAAAAAATCGATTCAATGAATAGAAAAGGAGAATGTGATTTAGAATAATAAACAGTACTCATCATTAGAATGATAAATCAATAGGGTAAGTTACTTATTTTGTCAAAGGTCATAGTTGGATGTACCTGTAACTTAGAGTTGATATTCACTCTGGAACTCGAACCCAGGTACCGTTCACTTCAAACACTATCATGTTATCCACTTAGTTACTGAGTCTTGGATAGCCACTTGCTTGTGCAATGGGATGAAGTTTTAAATTCACTTGGTATTGTTCACTTGAATCTTCCAATTGATGTTTTTTTGAATGCAATCGATCAGTCTTTTATTGGCATATGTGCATCCTATACGGATTGCCTTGATATTGCTTGAATTCACAAGCATTATATGCAAAGATGGATGGTGGCTAGCAGTGGAACCCAAGATGCGCGACACATCATCCTATTTGTAACTCGTCAGTTGAATGTACCTGTATCTCGCAGTTGATGTCCACTTCGGGACGCGGACCCACTACCGTTCACTTCAAACGCCATCATGTTATCCACTTAGTTACTGAGTTTTGGATAGCCACTTGAGATGAAGTTTTAAATTCACTTGATATTGTTTACTTGAATTTTCCCATTGTTGTTTAGGACTGCAATTGATCAGTCTCAAATAGAACAAAACGCACGTCCTGGATACCATTGATAGTCACTATTCATCTTTGATTAGAATGCTAGTGAATTAAGGCGATACCGAGGTAATACGCACAGTATGTATATATGCTAATAAGAGACTGATCAATTACAGTCCTAACATATCAATGGGAAGATTAAAGTAAACGATATCAAGTGAAAGAAACTACAGTGTGCTTTACAATTAGGAAGTAGAGATCGGACAATCACTGAGCTATGAATTATACTATGCTTAATTATGTAGTGAACGAGAACAAAAGTGGTGACAACCAAATGTATTTTAATACAATATTACAGAATATCTTGATAAAATCTGAGAACCATACGGTAAATACTTCATTTGCACAATATCCAGAATATTCAGACTTGATTGTTCCTTCATTTCCACATCAATCACTATCTGTTCTCGTCCTTTTATCTTCGACCTTCACACAGCTACGAATCATACGCCGACTATAGAAGACAATATGAAGTTAAGCTGGATGAAACGTTTTTTTTCTCCAGGGATCTCGAAAGTCTGTTTTCCAGAATTTCTACTAGGTATCTTCATTACATTGAATATTCGTAAAGAGAGTCTTCCTTGGTGTTGTTAACATTTTCACGTTGTCGTCTTAAATCCAGATTTTTTTCAATGAATCTACTTGGATATTCATTTGTTTTAGTCTATCAAGTTGTATGTTGATTGTATCCTCGATACACTTCAGTGTGACCCAACTTTGAAAACTCGTGAATTGACCATTCCATGTTGGCTTTCTATACATATAGATCTTTGTACAGAACTATCATGTTCTCTTCTTAACAAAGTATCTATGAAGTGGGGTCCTGAATCCGACTCTGAATCGATTGTGCACTAGATTGATTGATGGCACTTACTGAACTTGTCTAGGATATTGGTGAAATTGACAGTTTTGTCAAAAATGATGAACGTGTTATTTAAATATCTCTTGTATATACAGAAACTGTTAGCTGTTGGTTTAAGCACAGTATTTTTGAAACTGATAATGAAATAGTCAGCCAGAAGTGGGTTGAGTGATGACTCGAATGATACGCCGTCAGTTTGTCTATAGAACTTATTATTAAATGTATATCGGAAATTGAAAGTGCATCAAAGAAGTAATTTGTTCAGATAGTGTATCGAAACATTGACATCAAGTTTGTTGCTTTTAATATAATAACATAGTAGTCAGATTGCTATCGTAAGAAGTATATTTATTATCAGAATGGTGGTTTGTGGAGATTGTAGTAATTTATTAATTGAATTCATGAGTCGATTCAAGCCAGACCACCATTGAAAACATGTAAGTGTAAGACGACCGTTTCGTTCTACTATGGAACTCCTCAGCAGTGCGCGTCCACGACCTCCCACCAAAGGGACTTGAACCCAGGAACTTCGGTCTCGCCAGCGAACGCTTAACCCCTAGACTACTAAGCAGGCATCCAACAGTGTTAATGTTTAACTTCAACCAATCGAGTCCCGCCTGCGGGACCGTGGATGTGCACTACTGAGGAGTCCCATACTAGGACACAACGGCCGTTCAATGCTTTCAGAAGTATATTTGTAAAAAGAGAGATAATATCTAACGAAGTCATCTTCTTCCCGGTTACATCGACGCCTGATACTGAATCCACACAATCAAACAATACAGCAGTGGTCTACCCATTGAGTTGATTTTTAACTGGTTGTAGAGTTTCAACTAACTGTTTATCAATAATATGATATGGCGAATTGTTTATATCTAATACAGAGCGTAACTCCGCCTGGAGTCCCTTTCCGGGGGCTACTGCCGGTCCCAAGCCCGGATAAAGGAGAAGGGTTGGGCATGGGGTTAGCGACCCCATCCCGTAGAAAACTAACTCGCTAAAAAAACGCTAACCAGAAAAAATTATTCAAACCATTTAAACTCTGCCCTGGGAGTCAGGAGGTCTTCGTTTAGAAGAATTATGACGCCTCATGATGAAAGCCGAGTTTCTTCGGAAGTCACGAGGCCGATGCCCCTTCTGACAACCAGAGCAACCATTTATTTAGGTACATGGAATGCTCGCACAATGTGGGAGACTGGGAGAGTTTTCCAAATTGCTGCAGAAATGAGGAGATACAATTTAGAGGTGCTTGGGATCAGTGAAACACATTGGACGCAAGTTGGACAACAACGACTAGCTTCAGGGGAGCTGCTGTTATACTCCGGACATGAACAAGAAAATGCCCCACATACACAAGGAGTTGCATTGATGCTGTCCAAACAAGCACAAAATGCACTTATAGGATGGGAATCTCATGGACCAAGGATCATCAAAGCCTCCTTCAAAACAAAGAAAACGGGGATTACAATGAACGTCATCCAATGCTACGCGCCTACCAATGACTACAATGAAGACGCTAAAGATCAATTCTACGATAGGCTGCAGTCAATCGTCGAGAAGTGCCCAACAAAAGACCTGACTATTCTGATGAGAGACCTAAATGCCAAGGTTGGAATTGACAACACCGGATATGAAGAGATCATGGGACGACACGGACTGGGAGAAAGGAACGAAAATGGTGAGAGATTTGCAAATCTATGTGCCTTCAATAAACTGGTCATAGGCGGGACTATATTCCCACATAAACGCATACACAAAACCACATGGACTTCACCGGATCACAGCACACAGAACCAAATCGACCATATCTGCATCAACAAAAAGTTCAGGAGGACGATGGAGGACGTGAGAACAAAGAGAGGAGCTGATATAGCATCAGATCATCACTTGCTGGTCGCCAAGATGAAATTGAAACTCAAGAGGCACTGGACAACGGGGAGGACAATATCACAAAAATTTAATACGGCTCTTCTTCGGGATAATGACAAACTCAATAAATTCAAGATAACCCTCAGCAATAAGTTCCAAGCCTTTCATGATCTACTCAATGGAGAAGGAACTACTATGGAGAGCAACTGGAAAGAGATAAAAGAGGCAATCACTTCAACATGTCATGAGGTTCTGGGCCAAAAGAAGCACCATCACAAGGATTGGATCACGATCGATACACTGGATAAGATTCAAGAAAGGAGGGACAAGAAGGCTGCAATCAATACCAGTCGAACAAGAGCAGAAAAAGCCAAGGCACAGGCTGAATACACAGAAGTAAACAAGCAAGTGAAAAGGAGCATCAGAACTGACAAACGTAAATATGTGGAAGATTTGGCATTGACGGCGGAAAAGGCTGCCAGAGAAGGAAACATGAGACAACTTTATGACACAACAAAGAAACTCTCTGGAAATCACCGTAAACCAGAACGACCAGTGAAAAGCAAGGAAGGCAAGGTAATCACCAACATTGAAGAACAACGAAACAGGTGGATAGAACACTTCAAAGAACTGTTGAATCGACCAGCTCCACTGAACCCACCCAACATTGAAGCAGCACTCACGGACCTCCCAATCGATGTTGGCCCACCAACAATTGACGAAATCAGCATGGCTATCAGACAAATCAAGAGTGGTAAAGCAGCAGGACCAGACAACATTCCAGCAGAGGCACTGAAAGCAGACGTAGCGGCAACTGCAAGGATACTCCAAACTCTCTTCAGAAAGATCTGGGATGAGGAACAGGTACCAAAAGACTGGAAAGAAGGACTTCTAGTCAAAATACCAAAGAAAGGCGATCTCAGCAACTGTGACAACTACAGGGGAATCACTCTTCTTTCAATACCAGGAAAAGTCTTCAACAGGGTATTGTTAAACAGGATGAAGGACTGTGTAGATGCACAACTTCGAGACCAACAGGCAGGATTCCGTAAGGATAGATCGTGCACAGACCAAATCGCAACTCTACGGATCATTGTAGAACAATCAATTGAATGGAATTCATCACTCTATATCAACTTCATCGACTACGAAAAAGCATTTGATAGCGTGGACAGAACAACCCTATGGAAGCTTCTTCGACACTACGGCGTGCCTCAGAAGATAGTCAATATCATACAGAATTCCTATGATGGATTAAACTGCAAGATCGTTCATGGAGGACAGTTGACAAAGTCGTTCGAAGTAAAGACCGGTGTCAGGCAAGGTTGCTTACTCTCACCCTTTCTCTTTCTCCTGGTGATCGACTGGATCATGAAGACATCAACATCTGAAGGGAAGCACGGGATACAGTGGATAGCTAGGATGCAATTGGATGATCTAGACTTCGCAGATGATCTGGCTCTTCTAGCGCATACGCAACAACAAATGCAGGAGAAGACAACCAGTGTAGCTGCAGCCTCAGCAGCAATAGGTCTCAATATACACAAAGGGCAAAGCAAGATTCTTCGATACAACACAGCATGCACCAATTCAATCACAATTGACGGAGAAGCTTTGGAAGATGTAAAAACCTTTACATATTTGGGCAGTATCATCGATGAACACGGTGGATCTGATGCAGATGTGAAGGCACGGATTGGCAAAGCAAGAGCAGCATATTTACAACTGAAGAATATCTGGGACTCAAAACAATTAGCAACCAACACCAAAGTCAGAATTTTCAATACAAATGTGAAGACAGTTCTACTGTATGGGGTGGAAACCTGGAAAACTACGAAATCCATCGTCCAAAAGATACAGGTGTTTATTAACAGTTGTCTACGCAAAATACTTCGGATCCGTTGGCCGGACACTATTAGCAACAACCTACTGTGGGAGAGAACAAATCAGATCCCAGTGGAGGAAGAAATCAGGAAGAAGCGCTGGAAGTGGATAGGACACACATTGAGGAAAGCACCGAACTGCGTCACAAGACAAGCCCTCATATGGAATCCTCAAGGTCGAAGGAAGAGAGGAAGACCAAAGAATACATTACGCCGGGAAATGGAGATAGATATGAGAAAAATGAACAAGAATTGGATGGAACTAGAAAAGAAGGCCCAGGACAGAGTGGGTTGGAGAATGCTGGTCGGCGGCCTATGCTCCATTGGGAGTAACAGGCGTAAGTAAGTAAGTAAGTAATACAGAGTGTACAAAAGTACCTTTCTCATACATCTCTTCAATGACAAAATGGATATCTTTCGTTATTATAAATTGATTTATTGATTCTGTAGAATGAAACAAATCTGTACTTCGATCAAAATATCTCATTTATACTGAACCATAGTAAAAGAAATGATTAGATGTAGAAAAAAAGGTGTAGAGAGATTTCAGCACTCAGGTTCTAAGTGGAGACAAAAAGTGAATACGTCTGTTTCATCATGAATGGTTCTAAACCATATCTCTAAGTATTTCGTTACGTTAGTTATACGGAATTGAACCAAATAGTATGTAACTAGCTACATAACTCAGTCTAATTGTCGGTGACTTGATGGGCGACTAGTGCCACTCCTTAGTTTTCCTACCTTCAAGCTTTCTTCCAACCTTCCTCTACACTATACAACATCGACTATTAAGGTATTCGATGGTTTAATATACGTCACATAAGTCATAACCACTTCAATTGATAAAGATTTATCACCTCATCAACAATATCGACCTAGTACAGTATGCCTAAACCTCAGCACTTTATATTTCTAAAACTGATTATTGAATTCATCACTAAACACTGAGACAAAAAAATTACCCAACAAATAAATAAACTGATCGATATGTATATCTTCAGTTTGAACGTACATCCATTGGTTGTTTTCTTCTAAGAAGCGTGTTACACCGGTTTGTGCAGCCAAATTACAAATATGAACATGAACATCTATAAAAAAAACAAAAAATATAAATGATTCTTCTTTAAGGACACAGATAATAATAAGCATAGCTATGAAAGGAATTCCTTGTAAATTTACCATTTGGGTGAAGATAAACTATACTCTCATTCGGAATTTCGACCTTAAGCCTGGTAATCAACCAAAATAAAGCAGGAATTATTGTTTAGACTAGTAGTAATCTGTGATGAAGGACATGTTCCATTCTCTGTTATTTTTGCTGACTCTCCGCACTCTCGGCCTTATCAGAGCATTTAGGGGGGCAGATTGATTTAATAATCACTCAATGATAAGATTCCATAAATGTCCCCAAATGCCCTGGTACGGCCGAGAGTGGGGAGAGTCCGCTCTCCCTCTGGAAATACTCTCACATGGCCACGCGTATATAGCCTCTGACAGGGAAGTCCTACTCACCGCCTTCTCGCACCACGGGTGTTGTTTACGAAAATGAGAGGACGAAAAGCGAATATCCAGCGCTTTAACCGGATCCCGAACCAATGGTGCACATGGGCTCCAGTATCCTGAAGGAACAAGTGGCGTATGAACCAGTCGCTGTTCACCGGCTACCATGGAACTGCATCTCCTTACGGTGCTCCACTGCCTTGTGGATCAGACCTTTAGGTCGAAGGCTCGGGGTGCGCCCCCCCTAAGGAAACCACCTGCTTCGATCTGGGCACCTGAGCAGTATCACAGCTCACACACAAATCAAGTGACTTGTGTGTCGCATATATATTTAGTGCCTCTTTGTACCACTATTTATGTATGCAAATAACTAAATAAAATAATGATGATTCTTGAACTATACTGAATATATTGATGTGTGGATAACGAAGAGTAGTGATTAGTTGTTTGCCTATTATTTTTTTATTTTATTTTAACACATAGATATCGGTACAAGAAGGCACCAAATACATATGCGCCACACAGATCTCATTTGATATGTGTGAGGGCTGTGATACTGCCCGGGTGCCCAAACCGAAGCAGGTGGTTTTCTTGGGGGACCACACCCCGAGCCTCCGACCTGAAGATCTGATCCACAAGGCAGTGGAGCATTGTGAGGAGATGCAGTCCTATGGTAGCCGGTCACCAACGATTGGTTCATACGCCATTTGTTCCCGCAGGATACTGGAGCCCATGTGCACCATTGGTTTGGGATCCGGTTATAGCGCCGGACATTCGCTTGTTTGCCTAATCAAACTAGTATCAGATATGTTATATATATATATATATATATATATATATATATATATATATATCAGTTGTTAAAATAGAAATATGTTTACATTCTAGTCAAGCCAGTCATGTGTTCTTCATCAAATTTATGTTGAGATCCTATAGACCACTAACAGGATAACTATTCATCTAAGTTAAATTTTAACATCTCATTGATGTCAAGAAGAAAACTAAGCTGGTGGAGAGGATTTGTAAATCAGGTGAATGATTTTGTTGGGATTTTGTTCTCTGAGCTGAATAGTTTGGTCGTGGAGCTTTCATCTTTCTTCTGAACGATATCATCAGCACAAACTTCAGGTAGAATTGAAGTGTTCCAACCAATCAGGAAAATTATGCACAAACATAGGAACGAAACTCAAACCAATGGGAGATACAACCAAAACATAGAAGTAAACAATGACATGTTTAAGGTCAACAACAACAATAACAACAACCAATCAACATCGAAATGTACAGAACAAGCTTTGAACCAAATATGGAGACATTCGAAGAACGATAGATGAAAGTTTCACGATTAAACTATCCAGCTCAGAGAATAAAAACTCGATCAAAAATTAAACGAAACATTATGACAAATATGATATAAGAAGTAACTGACCAGTTCGATGAATTAAATGATCCATATGATTAAGTTTAGTTAATGCTTCACCACCAGGATAATTTCTTCTTGCAATCATTATTAATATAATGGAACATACTATATTAACAAGAAGATGTATATAACAATAGAAAATGAATAAGATACGAAATTTTGTTATTCTATTTAATTTATGGTAATTTTTAATTAAATTCATATATGTTCCTTTCAATTTAAGCATTGGTTTCTCTCTATAATAAGAATAACAAGAAGAAGAAGAAGAGAGAAATTAGATTTAATATAAACTAGAAACAGATGGGTTTTGTGAAGATTAAAGTACTTGATGAATTGAATTCATGAGTCAATTATGAAGCTAGATTATTATGGAAAAACCTGGAAGTACTGTATGACCGTTTCGTTCTAGTATAAGACTCTTCAACAGTGCTCATCTATGATTTCACTACACGAGATTCGAACCCAGGCCCTATCAGTCTCATGAATTCAACTATAAAATTGCTAAAATCTCTACAAACCCTTCACTTTTGATAATAACTATTGTATGTTCACTAGTGACTGGCATCAAGAGGTATTTCTTGGAGTTCTAGTTAGAAACAGTGACAGGTGGAATTCAACCGGGTCTGTTGTGAGATAGTAAATCACTAAAAACAATGGTGGATATGTCGCTTAATTTCGTAGATTAGTTGAAGTTAGATAATTACACCGTTGAATGCCGGGTCAGTGATTTAGAGGTTAAGGGTTCGCGCGCGAGACTGATAAGTCTTGGGTTCGAATCTCATAGGGTGGGATCGTAGATGCTCACTGCTACGGAGTCACATACTAGGAACAAACGGCCGTCCAGTACTTCCAGGTTTTCCATGGTGATCTAGCTTCAATTGACTCATGAATTCAATTAATACATTAGAAAGTGTACAATCTTATTTGATCAATACAAATAACACTATTTGATAGTTTGCATAGTAAAAAATATAAAAGGTATTAACATATGTGCATCCTTTGAGGATTGCCTCGATATTGTCATAAGTCACAAGCATTATAAGCAGATATGGATGATGGCTAGCAGTGGAATCCAATATGACGTGCGTTTCATCCTAGCCGAAACTCGTTAACTCGATGTACCTACATTTCAGAGTAGATATGCCAATCAGTCAGCTACAACCAGGCACATATATGCATCGGTCCAAGTTGCTATACCTCATTAGCTTTATTTATTTATTTGAACACATAAATATTGGTACAAGAGGGAACCAAATATATATGCACCACACAAAATTTTATTTGCGTGTGGGCTGTGATACTGCTCGGGTGCCCAGACCGAACTAGGTGGCTTTCTTAGGGGGCCACACCGAAGCCTTCGACCTAAAGGTCTGATCTACAAGGCAGTGGTGCATCGTGAGGAGATGAGGTCCCATGGTAGCCGGTGAGCAACGATTGGTTCATACACCATTTGTTCCCTCAGGATACTGGAGCCCATGTGCACCATTGGTTTGGGATCCAGTTAAAGCGCCGGACCTCATTGGCACAACAAGATGAAGTAGTCACTTCAATGATGCCAATATATAAAAGAAAGATTGCATATAAGGATATAGTACAGGAAGAAAGAATTAGTTGGTAGATCAGAGTTGATATTCATTTCCGGGACTTGAACCCAGTACCGTCCACCTCCAGTCAATATAAACTAATTGAAATATTGATTCAATGAAAGGTCCTCCTTTTTTTCAATGAATTCAAGGTTGTACAGTCACAATTATAATTTCGTTTCAAAAATGATAATAATGGTGATAATAAAAATTTTGCTAAGCATGATAATAATGAGGTAAAATAAATAAAAACGTTGTCCGTAATAAGGAAACTAATAATAATTTTGCTGTCGAATTCATGAGTCAATTGAAGCCAGATCACCATAGAGAAACCGAGACGACCGTTTCGTCCTAGTATAAGACTCCTCAACAATGAGCATCTACGATCCCAACCCACGATATTCGAACCCAATACTTATCAGTCTCATGAATTCAATTATAAAATGGCTAAAATCTCCACCCCCCCTTCTGATCATAATCATTGTATGCTCATTAATGACTAGCTTTCTATTTATTACTCAAATTATTTGAACTTATTTAAATGTTGGCTTATAATAATTATTATATTGTTATTATTTGAACACATAGATATTGGTACAAGAAGGCACCAAATACATATGCGCCACATAAATCACTCGATTCGTGCGAGGGCTGTGGTACTGCCCGGGTGCCCAAACTGAAGCAGTTGGTTTCTTTAGGGGGCCACGCCTGGAGTCTTCGACCTAAAGGTTTGATCCACAAGGCAGTGGAGCAAAGTAAAGAGATGCAGTCTCATGGTAGCCGGTGACCAGCGATTGGTTTATACGCCGTTTGTTCCCTCAGGATACTGGAGCCCATGTGCACCATTGGTTTCGAATCAGGGTTTTCCAACTCCAGTAGGTGGACTCTCCATGTCCACCGACCCGGTTAAAGCGCCGGATATTCGCTTTTCGTCCTCTCAATTTTGTAAACAACACCCGCGCTACGAAAAGGCAATGAGTAGGACTTCCCTGTCAAAGGCTATATACGCGTGGCCATGTAAGAGTATTTCGAGAGGGTGAGCGGACTCTCCCCACTCTCGGCCGTATCCGGGCATTTAGGAAATAAAAGTACTTAAGTAATATACAAAAAAAAACAAAATAAACAACTTACAAATAAGCCCAAATATCTGCTACCACTAAATTGAATATAGGCAATATATAAATAATGAAACGTAATTCTTTATGAGGTAAGAAAGAGTATAAACCAACGAATATAAAACCAACTAATAATAATCCATTAGATTGTAAATAGATTATGTTATACTGGTAACCAAAACATTTTTGTAAAGGTATTGAGAGAATGATTATAATAATCCATGTAAATAATAATATATAAGTGGATAAAAGTGATTTCGGTAATGCAGATGTGAAATACCAATGAAATGGATATATCTAAAGAATAGATGTTTAGAATATAGCATGTGATTTACAACAAAACATACATACAACAACAACAACAACAACAAAACTTATGTACGTTGTCCAGTCAGAAAAATTTGACATTATTGAGAAATAACTTTGTAAGTGGTTAGTTCTTGATTTTATCTACGTACAATTAATGGTTAAAGTGAATAAATCTACAGTATAATTAGAAAGAGGTATGATTGTGATCTATTTTAATCACTAACTATAACCTTGTAGTATCTTAATAACTCAGATTCGCAGTTGTCTTATTATCATTGTTACTTCGGGATGTTTAGAAGATTAGACCATACAAAATAGAGAAGTTATTTACGTGCTTCAACACGATAAATATTTTCAGGTAAGAGATCAATCTCTAAAATATCAAACAAATTGTGTTATTTTCAGTTTTCTTATGGATAACCAAACTAATTAAAAGTGAGATAATAGTATAGCATTAGGCTATACTAACTGTCGTAAACGATTTAGATTACGTGAAAATAATAAGAACACACTGGAAGAGGTACAAAAACGAAAATGTTGTACCAATCTATGACTGTTGATGTGAGTAGTCTTGGTAGTTGGAGTTCGTGAGATAATTGGGATCAATGGTTGAATGATTTATCAAGTAAGGCTCAAAATCGGCTATAGTGCTACAATTGTATCCATTTCCGATCTAACATTACTGTCATAGACTTTCGACTCCTAGATTCTAGTCGCTGTTTTTTCCAAACTTTTAATATCGAATTTTTACAATCATTGATACTATTATTACATCCATTTTGCTTCGCTTTGAATACACTGATACAAAGCATAGCAACTTGGATTGTTGCATACTTGTGTCAAGTGCTACATTCTTAATGACTGACTAAACCTACTCAGACAACAGTTTGATAGATTTTATCTTAATGATCACCTTATTGAAGTAGGATATTTCGTGGTTGTCAAATCAGAACTTTTAATCTTAAAAACGAAAATGGTTAACAACTGAGAACAATCAGATAGAAATAAACTATAGTAAACATAATCAGCCTTGAATCCCTAGATTTAAACAATGAGGATTCACTAGTCTGTATTTGAGTTAGTTATAGCTTTCTGATAACGATTTGGAACCTCAATGTTAAGTTGTCTCTTTCAGCGTTGATAAATAATTGTCTATAAAAGGATAGATGTAGACCAGTTGGACTATATTCTGTTTAAGGACTTTTTTAAAATTTGGCTAACTAATATTAATGTCTCAATTTGTAACAGTTTGAGAGTTAACCCGTTGTTGATACTCTTGACTAAATTGTTATGAATCTTAGTTGCCATATGTGAATCCTACGCGGATTGTCCCATGTTTCTATAGAAGAGATGGACTGTGTCTAGCAGTGAAATCCAGTATGTATATTTCATTCTATTTGGGACCCGTCAGTTGGATGTATAGGACAAAATGTGTGTACTGGATCCCGCTGCTAACCACAATCTATCTCTTTTATATAACGTTAATATTGCCTCAAGAACAGATTGCAAACAATATCACGTCATTTCAAGATGAAATACCCTTATAATTTTTTTTAAAAGCCGAGCTAACTATCCCGTAATAGCACTCTTAACATTCGAAGCCTCCAGTTGAGTTTTAGGGGACATTTACGCTGTCGTTTCTCCATCCAGTATGGAGAAAAGATGAACGTGTTAAAACATGAACCTCGAAATAAGTGGAAGTTCACTATCGATCCTCTCAAAAGTTAATTGACAATATGATCGATCTGTACCTTACGTTATTCGAACAGACTATGCTTACAGAGTACTTGTCATCCATTGTTAATCTATTTTAAACCCATTGTTGATGATAATTTTAAACAAAATCGAATTATGTGCGTGGTAATTTAGGGTTGGTCGACTGAAATACATGATTCTGCTCCGCATAGTCAACTCCTTTAGATACAATTATTTCGACAATAAGCGATTCCAAATTAATATAAAAAACGAGATGGTGAAGATTTGCAGCTCAGGTGGATGATTTTGATGGAGTTCTGTTCTCTGAGCTGGATGGTTCGGTCGTGGAGCTTTTATCGTTCTTCTGAACGACGTCATCAGCTGACGATTAAAGCTCCACGACCGAACCATCCAGCTCAGAGAACAAAACTCCATTATAATATCAAAAACCAATTTTAACATATTTTGACGGATTTTTGAACACCCTACCTTTTTGTACTTAAAATGTTGAAAATTCAGTAGTTTAGCTGATGACAATTAAGAATTCAAATCAATCAATCAATCCTGTAGTTATTGAATACACAGATGCTTATTGAGAGACAACGGCATTCAATGAACCACAAACAAAAATAAAGTAAATATATCAATTGTGATTATAGATAAAAGCTAAAACTAGATCAACACAAAAGGATACTCCCCATTGTCCACTTTTATTTAAAATTGTATTGAAATAAAATACTTCAAATTCTGGCCAGATTAATCTACCCCATAATAGGGAATCAACTAAAACACTGGAACCTGTACGGAAAATTTAGGAAGCATTGATTAATTATAATTCAAACACATACCGATACTGATGATAGTAGTTGTAATGATTGTCTTAAGCAATTTCAACCGAAGTTTAACAGATCCAGTGAATAAACCATATAAAAGACATGGACCAAATAGCAAAATTAATTCACTACGGAACACAAGAATTGCAATTCCAGCTGATGCAACAAATTTAGTTTCATTGCGAGTGATCAGATGACCCAATGAATACAAGACTACAAAAGGAAGGAGAATTCATAAACATATGTATTTTTAGTTACTACTAATATTTTAGTCAAATAACCCATCTGCAAATAGCTTTGCGCTACATTCATTATGTGACAGTTAATTATTCTAACCGACTGCTGTAAGCAAAATAGACTGGGAATGCTTCAAGTTAATGCTCTGATGATTTAAGTCTAATACTAAAACCCGTTAACTACAACTTTATATGATGAACAAAGTCGAAATCTCAATGACTAACACACTTTCTGATAAACTTCATTTAACAATAAGCAAACACAATATCCATGAAACCAAACAAACCAATAGTAACAAATGCCATTGCGAGGTGACAAAAATACACCATGAAGCATTTGGAACTGGAAGGTGTTAACTATCAAATCGAAAATAAAAGTTTGGCATGGTCTAAATATTTTAGATATAACTTTATAAAATGCCAGTCTATATATATATATATATATATATATATATATATATATATATATATATATATATATACCAAATAAAAAGGATGAAGAGAGAATGTCTAGTGCATAAACCAGGTTGGTGGATGTGGAACATACAACTAAGGAAGTTGGAAAACTCTGATTCCAAATCGTCGCTTCACATGCGATTCATGATCCTGAGAAATCGAATGGAGTGTGAACCTATTATCGGACCCTCACTACCAGTAAAATCCACCTTCAAACATTTCCCAACTACCTGGTGGACTAAACCTTTGGTTTACAGATTCAATGTTGGCCTCCTGAAAAAACTACCTGATTTGGTTTGGGCATTCGAACAGTATTCTACCCCACACAGGTTCAATGATTTGTGTGGCACATACATATTTTAGTGCCCGACTGTACCAGTGTTTGTCTTTCAATAAACAAATAAATAAAGCATTGTTACTTGGATAACACACACGGCCACATAAACCACAGTTCGAATACATTTTACACTAAACGATCCACATTACAAATCGGTCTCAATATTTGAATATGATTGGACAATTGTTTGGTAATGGGTTGTTTTCCTAACCTTATACATTTTTCGTAATTTTAATTTCTATTACTTCTCTAACCAAAAGAATCCTTTATGGTTGTATTTTCCCCTACTGAACAGCTTCTCTCACTATGTAAAAGTCTCGTTTACTTATTTTCAGTAATTTGTTGCTTTTGACTATACTCACCCTCCATCCTATAAATTCTTTACGGTCTTATTTCCTTCTTATGTGGTGCATATTTGTTTTGGACATTTGTACTAATACTTATGTATTCAAATAAATGAAATAACACTTGTACGGCTAATCGATTGGGCTACAGCTGAAATCCATTAGCAGGAGTGATTTTGTAAGATGACTAAACTATATGGTTGGTTGCACATTGCCTAATACTTGAGTAAACATACGAAGAGATTTATTAGACAGGCATATTGTATAGGAAATACTTCCTACTTTAATTACGGTGATTTGTTTTTAAGAAAAATAAGCGTTAAAACGCGTTGAGCGAAAGAATATTTCTTTTCTATTAGTTCCTTTCTAAGACTTTATATTAACATATGCTTTGCACTTAAGAATGAAAACAATATGAAATAAATGGTCGTTGGTCAATCCAAAAATGTATTAGTATTTTCTCGAGAAGCAAAAATCATATAAAGACAACAGATGCAAAACCAAACCTAAAGTTTACGTAGTGAGTAATCTTAACTTCAGATTTAATTTTTCATCCACTGTATTTTTGAATGACTGGCGTTTCTAGAGAAAATATCGGTCTATTTCTAAACTGACCGACGACTATTTATTTATTATTGATTTTATTCTTAATCATAAAACTTACACAGTGTAGTCTTGATGAGGAACTAACTGAAAATAAATAATTCTCCACACTTGTCTTAAACATCTAAATGAAAAACAAATTTGACAATAAAACGTACCAAGTATGAAAGCATATGTGTTCGGTAGCGTTCGTGAGGCATAAAACGCCAAATGGAACTGACTGCAGCAGATTATAAGAAGACGTATGCATACATGTTTTCCGAAGACTTTCTTCACGCAATGTGCGAAATTCATCAAACTCAGGGCCATTATTAATCCTAAGCACATTCTAACTAAGCAATAAGGTTAGTGACATGTACTACCAATGTATTGGGAAATGAACTTATGCATTCCTAACAAGGTGTTCATGTACACTAGCGGCGATACAATCCAGGCAACAGACAAGCAACCCAGAAACGACCTCGGTACAACACCTGGAAAATAGTTATGATCGTACTGTAATTTCAACGTAGAATAATATATTATAAACACACCATAGTTATGTTAGTTCGCAAATAGAGCAAGTCGTGTGAGGCTTGCATGCCGAAACTTTCCTCCACTTTCGTGTAAGGACAGATGAGAACCACAGTAACGACATATACAGCAAAGAGAATTCCAATACTTTCCACGTTGAAAAGTGACATTCAATTGTTGATGAGTACGGTATTGTTGATAGAGTAGTGACTGTAATACAATCCTGCAATAAAAATATGGAAGAACAAAAACATAAGCTAAAGTCTGACTCAATACGTGGAATCTACACATTTTTATTAACTATGGAGGTAAATCGCGCACACATTATGAGTACATTCGACTCATAATTACCTGTCGACTACAACGACCTTGAGGATCAGAATATCCCCCTCTCATACGTAATAACCGCCGTTTATTGGGACTCAAGGTCATATAGACAAGGAGGGAGATTTGAGTTGCCTGCTGTACCGACGGTAAGCTGGTAAAGGCATTTGCTTTGCAAATTGCTGATTATATGCATCAACATGAGTAAATCGGGTTTCGGTGCTTGTCGGCTATTTATCTATCTGAACAATTTGTTAGCATCTCATTCATTTTCCATTGAATCATAAACGAGTTGGATCCATTATCTCAACACGTGATCTGTCTACGGTTTCAACAGAAATTTAAATCAACTGACAGACCATCATTGCTTGGAACAACGCAGGCCACCTAGCCTAATTTACTTTCTAAACCGGGTCTTTTCAATCTTCCGACCTCGGTGTCTGCTCTTGATCATGGTCTGCAAATTTTCCTCTTCCCGGAGTTTTTGTCCAAATAGTTAACACCGCAGTCGAAAAACCAACTTTTCGCCTTTATTTCCACCAAGTTCTTCTATATTCCCCTAAAATTTGTCTTAATTTCATTATTGTTGGTTTACTGGGCAGTGATAAGCTTTGTTGACGTGGGTTAATACTTGCAGCATTTATTCTATTAGAAATCTAGTTTTTTGAAAGTGTTCACTGGTGGACTGATGAAATGTACCCGGTTAGGCTGTTCCAGCGGTTGGCCACACATAAACAAACAATGAAATCTTTGTCTTTTTGAAAACGGAATCGCACTCTGCGTTTATCTGTTCTCGGTTTTTAAACGCTAATTAGGATTCAAAGACCAAGGACTCTCTAGAAGCTTCAAAATTTGGGAAAACTTCATGGTTTTCCCCGAGCCAGAGGAAATTCTTGGGGTTCTAATTTCATTTACGCTCCCCAAAAGCTAATAAAAGTTTCCTTAAAATTGGGAGAGCTTCATATGACCCAATTGAAATACCTTATTGAATATCTTTCCGAAATCTATAAATATCACATCGACAGACGAACCACTATCTTGGGCTGCTGTCCAACCCTTTCTCAGACTTTGTAATTTAATTAAGCATGAGTTTTCTCAAGCGCGAGTTTGTCAGGTGTTAAAATGTGTGATACTGCATGGTTTAATAACTTCGCCCGAATTGCTTTTTCCAAATACCTTACTAACAGGCTAGTAGTCAAACACAATCTGTTGCTTTCCACACTTAAATACAGGGCTAACTGTAGGATCTCGGATTCATAGGGAGTTGAGTTTGGATAAAGGGTATGTTAAGTAACGTTGTGAGTGGTTCTGAAGTCGTATCCCGGATGACACCAATCGTAAATATAACCTGTCAGGGTCTGGGGACTTATCATTTTTAAGGCTACTAGGTTAAAACGGCTATCTCAGTTACAAGCGACGGCCCCTTGGTTGCCGCAACACTGAGGCTATGTGAAGTATTGATAACAATATCTTCGGAGTAGTCCTCATTGAAAGTTTGATAAACTAACTGTCATCATATCTGGTTCAGTTAGTGTGTCTTCATTGTCGTGTAACTGTAATAGATAAATCCTATCACTGCATTGTCCTCCTGTCAATATGCGAAAAAAACGTTTCACATGAGTACGGCTACCGTGTGCCAACTACCTTTCATAAGAGGTGAGAGTTCTAGAGGTAGTCGTTTTACACATACCCCAGATCTTTCGGTACCCACACTTAAATGATTCGTCACCCTTTTGTTAAAAATGTGTCACAAATGTGTTTTCTATGCCACGGTAACTAACGGATTTCCCTATCAATCCATGGAGGTAGATGGTTTTGTCACATATGGTATGGCTTTAAACTTACCCCTTCATATTCAATCAAATTGTCTATGCTGACTAACCAATTTTTCGAGATAGCACAATCGCTGATCCTTTGGATGTTTGCCCACCAGATATTGGGACGGAGTAGAACAGATTCATATATATATATATATATATATATATATATATATATATATATATATATATATATATATACTATTTTTTAAACCTAAAATACAATGCGATTCGATCACTGCTCTCCACTGATAAATTTTAGTTACACCATAACGGTGAGTGGGCCCCAAATGCCGTAGTACGGCGGAGGGTAAGGAGAGTCAGCTCACCCCCTCGAAGTGCTCTCACATGACCACGCGTATACAGCGATTGACAGGGAAGTCCCACTCACTACCTTCCCGTGGATGGGGTGTTGTTTGCGAACGTAAGAGGACGAAAAGCAAATGTCCGGTGCCTTAACTTGGTTGGTGAATATGAAAGATCGATCTAGGGAAGTTTCTAAACCAGTGGTGCACATGGGCTCCAGAATCCTGAGGAAACAAATGGTATATGAACCAATCGTTGATAATCGGCTACTATAGGACTGCGTTTCCTGACGTTGCTCCACTGCCTTGTAGATTAGACCTGTAGGTCAAAAGCTCCGGATGTGACTCCTTAAGCAAACCACCGGCTCCAATCTGGGCACTCGGGCAGTACCAGTCTTCACACAAATCAATGATAACTTTTACCGGCCTCATTGTTATTGTGTGGCGCATATGTATTTGTTGCCTCCTTGTACCAATGTTTATGTGTTCAAATAAATAAATAACGGCCAGTGGAGACAAGGTCCAGCACTGATGGCTCATTTTTTATGTTACAATATGCTGGTTTTGTGATACATTGTACTAATGCACATTGTGGACTAATTCATAGTAGGTTGCCGTCGAAACATCCACTTGAAGTTGCTAGTTCTGATAAATCAATTTGCTACCTAGAAATTCCTGATGCTAAAACAGCAATTATTATTATTTATTTATTTATTTTAACACATAGGTATTGGTACAAGGAGGCACCAAATACATATGCGCCACACGAATCGCAATTGATTTGTGTGAGGGCTGTGATACTGCTCGGGTGCCCAAACCGAACTAGGTGGTTTTCTTAGGGGACCACACCCTGAGCCTTCGACCTGAACGTCTGATCCACAAGGCAGTGGAGCATCGTAAGGAGATGCAGTCCCATGGTAGCCGGTGACCAACGATTGGTTCATACGCCATTTTTTCCTTCAGGATACTGGAGCCAGCCCATGTGCACCATTGGTTTTGGATGCGGTTAAAGCGCCGGACATTCGCTTTTCGTCCTCTCATTTTCGTAAACAACAGTAGTGTCACGAGAAGGCAGTGAGTAGGACTTCCCTGGCAGGGGCTATGTACGCGTGGCCGTGTGAGAGCATTTCGAGAGGAAGAGCGGACTCTCCCCACTCTCGGCCGTACCAGGGCATTTGGGGGCGAAACATCAATTAAGCTAATTATAAATACATAAATGTGTGCCGAAATCAAACTTCAGCTAGTGATTGTTGAGGTAACCGACGTATAAACAAGTATTTTACAAACCCAAATATCTCTAAAAGTGTTAACTATGGGTTTGAATCTAAGCTTTTGGTAAGATAAACGTATCGGAAAATAAATAATTTAAAACATGGGATAGTTTATTACTTTTTGAATTCGTGCTATTTTGGGTAGAGCGTTTACGTTAGAGTAAACTGGTAAAAGGCTTACTATTGTTTTCCGGAGGCTTCACTGTTCACAGTTTTGCACGATGTCAAAGTTGTGTCCACTTTCAGTGGTTAAGTCGTTTGACTTTCAGTTACTACGTTGTGGCTTCGAACTCCGCTCCTTTCATTTCGGTTTGGACAACTGGGTAGTTTCTCTATCACACTTAGAGTGTGGCTCAAAGCCGTGTTCACGAATCTGTATATGGTCATTTGAAATTATCGATCACCGCCTTCCCATGTTGTTTCCAGTCACTGGGAAAGTGGTTGGTCCAATCCATAACAGTCAACGCTGGGGCTTTGCTGGTTCGTCCTAAGACTCATGTGAGATACCTTATCAAAGGCTGTACTAAAATCGTTCATAGTTGAATTCACCGGAATACCTTTTACACTAGTCTGTAGAGATGTTCAGTCTATTGATATTAGCAATCCGTTTTCATCATTGACAGTATTATCACATCGCTAATTCTTCTTTAACCATATTATTTTCACTTTAATCATCCTCTCAAGAACTATGAATCAGCTTGAGCAAGATTTGCGGACTAAACCAATTTGCTTGATTGTCCTTGGTATGGCTGGTTCAGGCAAAACGACATTTGTGAAGAAGCTAAATGAGTATTTAACAGTTTCATCAACTTCGTCGTATACAATTAATTTAGACCCAGCAGTTCATCATATTCCCTACAATCCTAACATTGGTAAGCCTCAGTTTACTGGTAATGTTTAAAGATATTCGCGATACTGTCAAGTTTAAAGAGGTTATGAAACAATATGGTTATGGACCAAATGGAGCTATTATGACATCGTTGAATTTCTTCGCCTCACAATTTCATAAAGTTGTGGATATAATTAACAATAACTCCGGAAAGGTTTCCTATGTAATAATCGATACACCTGGACAAATTGAAGTGTTCACATGGTCTGCTTCAGGAACTATTATTACAGAACTATTAGTAAGTTGAATTTTATATTTGTTAGTAAAGGTTTATATTTAGGGAAATTCTTTTCCTACTCTGATTATATATGTAATGGATACTCCACGAAGCCACAATCCTATCACATTCATGTCTAATATGCTCTATGCTTGCAGTGTGTTGTATAAAATGCGACTTCCGTTTATATTAGTTCTCAATAAAGTAAGTACTGTATAATTGCTGTTGGATTTTTGAAATCTTTATTTAACCCACCTTATGTATCTATTACTATGATTCTTTGTTTATCAAATATTAGTTTAATTTTGTTTGTTAACTATAAGATGCTTCGAAAAACTTTTATCTGTTATAAATGATAAGTTAATGAGTATATTACAGCTCAGCTTAATAAGTTTTCGGATTTCTTGAAGCATTTTCTTTTTAGTGTAGGATAGGAAGTGGAAGTATTTGCACCACATTATTCTTGTTACTCCACCCTACTACCATCATTACCTTTATACTTTTTGTCATAACTTGTGATTGTTTTCCAAGTCCCATCCCCGTCGCCAGTTGTTATAACTCGTGAATAGAATGCTACTTTTTGTATCTGGTCGTCGCTGATTGTTATGTCGGAATCGCTGATCACTTATACTCGGAACGAAGGGACCTTCACAATTCCCACGACGCGAAAGTAAGAACACAAGACTGGTATAAGTGGAGATTTATTAGCCCAAAACACTATGATAATGACGACGACCTTAGCCGAAAATACACTCATTTATATATTGATTGTACACCCATTCTGACTTTTAAACTAGTTCTCGTAGATCCCAAGAATTATTTTCATATCGTTATTCGATAACTTTAAAGTATTCTACATACTCCCGTTACAGTACAACAACCGAAAATTGAATTAATCAGCCTTGGAAACGTGAAGCGTATTCTTCGCTTCTAATAATTTAAGCTGAATATTTTATTCAAGTGATGTATTTAACTAGACAATAAGATAATGTTAGCGCAGTAAAGCTTAATGTTCTCCAATTCTATCGGCTACATATAATACAACTTCCTGTATAGAGTTCTCAATGCAACTCCAGAAGGTATAAATTGATGAATGTTAACTATGAATCCCATTATTATTTATGTTCCTTTGGCTGTTCTGTTAATTGGAGGTATAGTTCAGCGGTTTTAACACTCAATTACTAATCATGATACTACCTGTTCAGATTGTTCTCCCTTACTTTAGTCCCGATCATTGCTGCTACCTTGACGTGGTGGTCGGGCCTGCCTATCGTGATGAACTATTCAAGTTATGCTGGTTGGAACAATCATTTCTCAAGGCTCTATCATGCCGAGCAAGTCGGTTGAAGAGTGGTAAAAATAAGAGCAGCAAACTCAAGGTCCGAGGGCGAAGTCGTACTGCTGACTTTACAGATGTGTGACGGCGGTATGCTGTTTCCCTCAGACAAACAGCACTGCTGCGTTTCCACAAAGGAGGGGTGGGGTTAGAAACGGTCGATTTTAAAAATGCATACCTCGCCTTATCCCACAGATACCCGTCTTTGTCGGTAAGGTCTAAACATATACTAAGTAAACACAAAAACTGCCTACAAAATAATCGTGTGCGACCAGCCTCAAGCAGTTGTCCTTTGAATACTGCGGTTACGCTCTCAAATCACCAAGACGAACTCTAACCGAATTTCATGTTCAGGTACTTGTAAAAGAACCCTTCTACGATGTGAGTAATCAGGATGTGGTAACCGCCGTCATACCTCCAACAACACTCAAGACCAATTCCCCCCTCCTTACCTTAGTATAAATGTTTGAATGATGTCATTATCTCTCACTTAGGTAGGTTCATGTCAAAGTTTAGTAAAGAAATTCCTAAAAAGCTAAAAACTTAATTTATTGGGATATTACTCACTGATAATGATCTAGCACTGTAGACATGCATTGAGTAATTTAGGTGAACTACAGAAAATACGTAATAGTCATTTTTCTTTCTAACATTACGAATACTGGTTAACTTGTATCTCTCAGAAAATTGCTTTCTCATCTTCAAATAAAATAACTCTGTCGTCTATGTCCTACAAACGTCAAATTTCCATAGTATATCAGTTCCTGAAAAACGAAGTATAAGAGAATTGTTTAAGTCTGTCCTTCCTATAAGCAGAAATAAATCGTTAGAGATTTAGTCCGTTTACTTGGGAAAATGCTCCGTTCTCCTTATCGAAACTAACATGATGAAAAAAAGCTGCTTTTTTGTTTTATAACAGAAGTGCACGATAAATAGAATGTACAAGTCTTCTCTTTAGCCGGTAATGTTAAAAATTGCTCCTATTTAATATAACAATAAACTAAATCTAAGTATAACCGAACTAAGCATTTATAGATATAAGAGTGTCATGTGACTGGTTCAGATTGCATAAAGAAATTACATAGTTTATTGTCAGATGATAACCAAGGCATTGGTCTCATTCTTAGATTTAGCTAATGAGAATCTTTTTTCTCACGGAATCTAATATAACTGTTAATCTCGTGAGTGACAATACAACATTCAACTATTTGATCATTATATTTTCGAAAGAGATTAACGTAACCAGTAATTTACTCTTCTTATTTGTGCAAATACTTTAGAACCTTGTATATCTTTTCGTTCTATGGAGAAATAACAACGGACTTAAATGTATCAAGCCCCCGAATGCCCTGGTACGGCCGAGAGTGGGGAGAGTCCGCTCTTCCTCTCGAAATGCTCTCACATGGTCACGCGTATATAGCCTCTGTCAGGGAAGTCTCACTCACTGCATTCTCGTGACACTACTGATGTTTACGAAAATGAGAGGAAGAAAAGCGAATGTCCGGCGCTATAACCGGATCCCAAACTAATGGTGCACATGGGCTGGCTCCAGTATCCTGAAGGAAAAAATGGCGTATGAACCAATCGTTGGTCACCGGGTATCATGGGACTGCATCTCCTCACGATGCTCCACTGCCTTGTGGATCAGACGTTCAGGTCGAAGGCTCGGGGTGTGGTCCCCTAAGAAAACCACCTAGTTCGGTTTGGGCATCCGGACAGTATCACAGCCCTCACACATATCAAATGAGATTTGTGTGGCGCATATGTATTTGGTGCCTCCTTGTACCAATATCTATGTGTTAAAATAAATAAATTTATCAATGTCAAGGATGGACTTGATAGTTTCAAATACATTAAGCAATGGATAGAAAGTTAATTATATATATATTTCAACAGTAACATCTTTTACTATAACGTTGAGCGATACAGATTTAAGTATCTGAGTGAATACGTATTTGATGTAGAAGGTCCCTATTTGTCTTGTTGATGGGTGTCCATACTTATGAGATCTGGTTCTATCAGATCCTGTTAACTCTCTACAAAATCAAGTGTAATTAAGTCACATTTCTGTCCATCCCAATTTCCAAATGTAAATGGGATTATGTATTTTGTAGGGGTTTACCAATAGTTACTGTTGTAATTGTTATTTCCGTAAAATATTCGTATGAACTGAGGTATAAATAAGAGATTGAAACTTCTTTTGCATTTTACCTTTTTCACTTTTTTTTGTAAGATTGACATTATAGACTGTGATTTCGCCATTCAATGGATGAGGGACTTTGAGACATTTCAAGATGCTCTAGCTGGTCATCAATCAATTGATGGACCATCTGAAATGGAAGGTGATAATCCTTGTCCTGGGACATCACCATACATGAATAGTCTGGTTCATTCTATGTCATTAGTGCTAGATGAATTCTATAGTACTTTGCGTTGTTGTGGTATCTCGTCGATAACTGGTGAAGGCATGAGAAAGTTTGTGGAAGAGATTGGTGAAGCGAAAGAAGAATACTTTAAGGTTTGTGATAGTTCCTTACATTAATAATTTTGCGTTTATAGGTAATAATTAGGTGTTTCAAAGTATTATCACGCTGCTTTGTTGTAAAATGACTATTACTGATCAGTGTTGAGAACTGGCTTTGATTTATTATCATTATCTGAAGTCTCAAAATGGAAGAAAGCACCTTTAATTTTGCCTTTTTACCAGAAATTAGTTATATGGGCAACGGGGAAGTGACAGCAATGCTTATAACAACAACAGCTGGTTATTCACCTCTACTATCAAAAGGTTGAATATATTTTAGAAACAACTAGAGAAACAACACTTAGCCGATCACAAAAGTAGTGCTCACCCCAAAACAGCTCGGTATGATATTCAAACAGTCGTAAAAATAGCAGTAATATCTCTCAGTGACCTAAATCGAACAGTTATGAACGATCTGTGAATTTCACAAACTTCTACTATGTTGTCATCTACTCGAAGATATCTAAGGAAGCTTGGATAATGATCAGGAGTAAAAACCTAAACATAAATTGACAAAATGTCTGTGCTATGACTGCGCGCATTAGTTGTGGATGGAAGCAAAAGAGATAAATAAGACAGAGACTACAGGTAACACAAGACAGTTGTTCTAATTCATTAGAGGTGTCAGGTATTGACAAGTCAGCTGTCAGTGGAACTGTTGGGGGAAAACACAAAGTTATGACTCGTTCCCAGTCTAGGAAACTGGAACAATGAAGGAAAAAACACTTCAAGAAAGTATTCAGATGGTTTCCAGCTAGTCTACGATTATTTCTAACCTGAATGGAAACTCTACACAAGACCACAAACTATTGGCTAGGTTAAAAATATCTTGTCTAATTCAGAGCACGAGGAGAAAAAGAACTTGGTAAGCAAACTGCGGAAGTTTTTAAGGATGTTGGTCCATTCCTAGCAGCTAAATTGCTTGAGATACTAGCTAGAGTTTGGGAGCCGGACATAATCTCACTGAATTGAACTTAACCACGAGTTGTCCCAGTCTACGAGAGATAATAAAAATTATTTCGTGGTAACCATAGATTAATCAGTTTTACTAATAGATTATCTACAGTATTACTCTTGATAATCATCCGACGCTTTCCTGACCCTCTGTAATCCCATACTTCTGAAGACTAGTCTGTTTTTCCACCTGAACGTAAATGTACCAATCGAATATTCACGTTTCGTCAGGTTTTGAGACGCATTTCTACTTCCAAACTCCAGACTGTAATTATATCCGTTGATCTTAAGATTACATTCGACTTCGTCGACCGTAATGGCTTTCTAACACGATCGAGTCAGCGCTTATAGCAAACTATCATCGGAATCTCCAACCCCAAACAATGTTCGTCAGTATTATCCACTATTTTCCTATCTATTTAATTTCGTCATAAGTATCCTTTCAGAAATAAAACTTTGTTCATATATTTTTTTCGGGAATTAATCTCTCCCCTCTAAACTCACTAATCCACCTGGAGTACGGAGCTAACATAGTATTTTTTAAAAATGAAAACGTTACCATAATGCAAAATCTTTTGTATGCCTTGAATTGTGACGCAAGTATGATTTTAATGCGTTTCTCGCCATTTAAATGCAAAATTATTGATTCAAGACTGATCTGCATCGTCACTAACATTTGATCATAAGAGATAAAGTAGTTAGGTGCGTTGATCAGTACACTTATCGCATCAACCTTTATTGTTCGCATCATGATTCATTGATTAACTTTTAACGGATAAAGAGGGAAATCATTTGTTTACATGATGTTATTTAAAATATTGCAGCTTTTATTTGATCCACTCATGATCATCTACCGTTGGCTTCAAAGTTTAGTTTTTCTGACAATTTAGATTATTGTTATTTGATGGATCGTTGATACTACATTGCTTCAATCTCTTTTTTTTTGTATTCATATTGTTATTTCCACTCCATAGTGCTAATGTGATATGCCAAGTTGGGCCAAATCACATCTGTCCCAGGTTCTGAGTTGATTTTTGTTTCTGTTTGGATGAAGTGTCATTGTAGTAGTCTTCTTTTCATTTACTTATTTATATTCTGAAGATATCAAAATTAATATCCCACTATTCTGAATACATTAATAATAGACCCTCTTAGATTTTATTCAGCATTTTTCTTGTGTGTTCGCATTTTCCACCTGAATTCTATACTATATTGTAGTCTCCTTTGTTACCCTTCCAAAACCTCTGTTCACTTTTCTATGGAAACGATAAAACAAACAGTTTATGACTGTGATAAGATGACTTTAGTGTCTGTTGGAGGTGATAAAGTTTCATTTGTTTTGGTATCTAAAATCTAACTTGATAATGTATGTTAAAAATGGTTATTTTTTTATGTACACCACAGCTAAGTATCATAATTTTCAAGAGTTTGTCACTACATGATAGGTCTTATTACCTTTTATTCATTAACAGATAAATCTTCCGAGCTTGTATGCTAAACAAGAGAAAAACAAGCAAGATTCAAGTGGTAAGTTAGCATTATATATATATATATCTTATGCAGTAAATAATTACCCTATAAGGCCCCCAAATGCCCTGGTACGGCCGAGAGTGGGGAGAGTCCGCTCTCCCTCTCGAAATGCTCTCACATGGCCACCGTATATAGCCTCTACCAGGGAAGCCTTACTCACTGCCTTCTCATGGCACAGGTGTTGTTTACAAAAATGAGAGGACGAAAAGCGAATTTCCGGCGCTATAACCGGATCCAAAACCAATGGTGCACATGGGCTGGCTCCAGTATCCTGAAGGAACAAGTGGCGTATGAACCAATCGTTGGTGACCGGCTGTCATAGGACTGCATATCCTTACGATGCTCCACTGCCTTGTGGATCAGATCTTCAGGTCGAAGGCTCGGGGTGTGGTCCCCTAAGAAAACCACCTAGTTCGGTCTGGGCACCCGGACAGTATCACAGCCCTCACACAAATCAATTGAGATTTGTGTGGCGCATATGTATTTGGTGCCTTCTTGTACCAATATCTATGTGTTAAAATAAATAAATAATAAATATGCAGTAAACTGTGGACTATACATACCGTATAAGATTTGAACATGCGAATCGACGTAAGAATCAATTCCAGTGAAACATGGTTCGACACAGTAACTTAGGGATCTAAATTGACGTTATAGTTGTACTATTCAAATAATGTAATAAAGATCTATAAAATCTAATCAATATTATACAGTTTTCCTGAAGGTTGTATGACTAAGTTAGTGTGTAAGACTATTCACTCCTTATTAGATTATTATGGAACTGTCATTCGATCTGCACTAAGAAGAACTTGACACACATGACATTGATCACCACCCAGTGATCAATCAATTGTGAATACATCTCAGTCCTACAGGAGGTCGATCGCGGCCCGAAAAGCCCAGTGATAACGTCTCTGACTGTGAAGCTGGGTGACACGGAGACGAATTCTTTCCAGTTCCCTTAAGATTACAGGTACACCTTGCTGACGAGTGCCAAGTAGCACGGAACCCGGGTCCAGGGTTTCCTGTTGACTACCTCCAACCACTATCTTATCTCAGCATAGTGCACGCAATGCTGAGTCACCTAGACTAGTGGGCCACATTGCAATTTGGTTGATAGCATTCAACCTGCACAAAAGAAGGACTTGACACACATGACATTGATCACCACCCAGTGATCAACCAACCGTAAATACTAGTACCCTGCTTCAATTATTAATATTCTGAATCTATTTAACAAAAATTGTTTTTGAGTTATAACTTATCGGATTTTCATGTTTGTTTTGCATTCAGATAAATCTAGTAAGTCTCATTCATCTAAACATGGATCAATGCTTTTGGATTTGGCTGGTAATGATGATGAAGCTGAAAATGATCCGCTACCTGATGTTGATGGTATAGAAATTCGTCCACACAGTGATTCAGATGATAATGATGATGATGAATTCATAGAATCAAAAGATCTCACATCTATTCAAAGTAGGTTTCAGTTAACTAATCAAAATTTTAAATGATAACAAAGTGCTTAATCTTTAAAATTCATTCTGAGGAGATTGTCTATCAAATTATGAGATTTCATATTATGCCACTTATGTACTCTCATATTTGTTATAATCCATTGTTTCATGTTGATGGAAGCTAATCTACAGCAATACTGTGTTTTTATCTAAAATTTTAATATGGAATCTATCGTCAACAAAATTCCTTCTATAATGCCCCCCAAATGGGCTGGTATGGCCGAGAATGGGGTGGGTCCACCCTCCCTCTCGAAATGCTCTCACACAGCCACGCGTATATAGCCTTTGATAGGGAAGTCCTACTCACTGCCTTCTCGTGGCTAGGGTGTTGTTTACGAAAATGAGAGGACGAAAAGCGAATGTCTGGCGCTATAACCGGATCCTGAACCAATGGTGCACATGGGCTGGCTCCAGTATCCTGAAGGAACAAATGGCGTATGAATCAATTGTTGGTCACCGGCTACCATGGGACTGCATCTCCTTACGATGCTCCACTGCCTTGTGGATCAGACGTTCAGGTCAAAGGCTCGGGGTGTGGTCCCCTAAGAAAACCACCTAGTTCGGTCTGGGCACCCGGGCAGTATCACAGCCCACACACAAATAAAATGAAAATTTGTGTGGCGCATATGTATTTGGTGCCCTCTTGTACCAATATATATGTGTTCAACTAAATAAATCCTTCTATAATACACATGGATTTTAATTAGTTGTAATATGTAATCTCATGGTCGGATGAATTTTCTGCATATTTAGAGATTGTCTCTTTGAAGTGTTGTCAATCTCATGTATAGAAACATCTTAATCCCTTGCCAAATTTCAAACCATTTCTTTATGAATTCACATTTTTCAACTGCTTGTTTGTTCTTCTACTTGGTTCTATGTTGTTGAGTAAATAACAAATCAAGAGTAAGACAAATATAATACATGACATTAAGTGATGAGGCACATACTAAAGTTGAGAATGTAAGATGGTGGGTCTGGACAGTAGTTTAGAAACTGATGTCTTTATCAGTGGTCACTCCTTAGCCCTATTATGTTTAAATGCAACAAACAGGACAACCAGCGTGATGTTCAGTTGTGCTTACCTATTTGGAAATTTTTGTTTATTTATTTAAACATATAAACATTGGCATAAATGCACACCAAAATGTATATGCACCACACGAACCATTGAATTTATGCATGGACTGAAATACTGCTCAAGTGTTTAAACCAAAGCAGGAGGTTTTCTTAGGGGACCATCACTCAGCCTCTAACCCAGGGATCTGATCTACAAGTTGGTGATGTGATGTTAACAGATGCAGTCTCATGACAGCCGAGGACCATACGCCATTCGATCTCTCAGGATCCTGAAGTTCATTTGAACCGTTAGTTTGGAATCAGAGTATTCCAACTCCCTTAGGTGTATGCTTCATATCGGCCAACCCGGTTTAAACACTGGATATTCACTTTTCGTCCTCTTAATCTTGTAACCAACAACACGAGAAGGTAGTGAGTAGGACTCCCGTTTCAGTGGGTTTCTATATATGCGTTGCCACATGGGAGCATTTCAAGAAGGAGCGAACTCTCTCCTCCCTCAGCCGTACCAGGGCATTCGGAAAACTCAGAGGCCTCAGTACTTGGGTTCCGCTGAATATTCAGATCTTCATTCACCCCTCTGTAATACAAAACCCACCACAAAATTTGAGATGTGTTTCCAAATTGATAGCTAAATCGTCAGTCTCAAATTTGAAAATCATAATTTCGAAGTGTAGTATAAAAAACAAACAATGTCACATACAAGCGTAACGGAGATTAGACTCTACCAAAAGCAGGGTGTATGAAACGTCTCAAATCATGTTATCACAATTTTCTTCATCAGAATGGGATTGTAAAGATTATTAAGTTTCTGATTGAGATCATGAACCGATTGATGCTAGACCACCATTGAAAACCTGGAAGCACTTGACAACTGTTTCATTCTCCTCATCAGTGCGCAACCACAATACTGTTCGCTGGATTCGAACCCTTCATTCTCGCACGCAAATGCTTAACGATTAGACCACTGAGCTAGCATTCAACGGTGTTAATGTCTAATTTCAACCAATCCACGAAATTGCTCGATCATCTTTTATTGTTTAATATCAATCGGTTCATGATCTCAATCACAATTTTCTCAGTTTATCTTAAGCTGTAGATTTCAGGTTTACTGCTTCAAATGTTAATCTTAGTTGCACGTTTGCTTTGTTCCAGAATTCATACTACTTAATTTTTTTTATGGTTAACGTTTTTCTTAGTGAGTTAGTTTTCTACGGGATAGGGTCACTTACTCCATACCCAACCCTCCTCCTTTAACCGGACTTTGGAACCGGCAGTAGTCCTATAGGGGCTCCAGGTGGAGTTATACCATTTAATAGCAATATCTATAACATAAAACTTCAAATAGTAGTATTTATCATCATCATCATACTGATATGTTTGTTTATTTTGTTTAAATTTAGATAAATTTCAACAATCATGCTCTGTTGATCCTGTTCCTTCTATGAATTGTGAAAATTGATCGGTTCTATAAATGGAACCAATGATTTTGTACAAAGTATAAATATTTGTTGTTGTTGTTGTTGAGATTTTTAGCATTTTATTATGATTGATGTTATTGAATAGAGAATGAAGAGAATTCAGCGAAGAAAACTTTTCGCTTCTCAACGCAAAACATTTAATTAATCTATACATTCATTCGTATTTATAGTTATATGAAAAATATATGTCAATATATAATCATTGAGTTGGGATTATGTGGAAGTTCTACTCATTGCCTTCTTGCAGGAGAGGTGTTGTTCACGAAATCCAGGGGATGAAAAGAGAATGTCTGGAGCTTTAATCGGGTTAGTGGATATGGAGGATTCATCTAGAGAAGTTGAAAAACTCTAATTCCAAATCAATGGTGCACATGGGGCTCTAGAATCTTGAGAAAACAAATAGTGTATGAACCAATCGTTTGTCATCAGCTACCATGGGACTACATCTCCTTTCGTTGCTTTACTACCTTGTGGATCAGACCTTTAGGTGAAAGGCTCCGAGTGTGTGGCCCGCTAAGAAAACTACTTGCTTCAGTTTGGGCACCCGGGCAGTATTGTAGCCCTCACACAAACCGAATAATTTATGTGGCGTATATCTATTTGGTGCCTCCTTGTTTATGTATTTAAATAATAGGATAGGTGACGTTTACTGGTTAAATCTGTACATTTTCCGGGTAAATGAACTTACCAGAGAATGTTTTCACATAGATTAAAACCTTTTTGTCACATTTATCAAAATTTCATGGAAATATTATAAAATAACAGAATATATCATAGTCAACATGCTTAAAAACCTCTGAAGTTTACCTAACAAGTTCTGCTTTTACTCGTCTCTCTGAATTAGGCAACGTATTTTTAACCTAGCCAACAGTTTGTGGTCTTGTGTAGAGTTTCCATTCAGGTTAGAAATAATCGTAGACTAGCTGGAAACCATCTGAATACCTTCTTGAAGTTTTTTTTCTCGATCGTTCCAGTTTCCTAGAATGAGATCGGGTCATAACTTTGTGTTTTCCCCGAACAGTTCCACTGACAGCTGACTTATCAATACCTGACACCTCTAATGAATTAGAACAACTGTCTTGTGTTACCTGTAGTCTCTGTCTTATTTATCTCTTTTGCTTCCATCCACAACTAATGCGCGCAATCATAGTACAGACATTTTGTCAATTTATGTTTAGGTTTTCACTCCTGATCATTATCCAAGCTTCCTTAGATATCTTCGAGTAGATGACAACATAGTAGAAGTTTTTGAAATTCACAGATCGTTCATAACTGTTCGATTTAGGTCACTGAGAGATATTACTGCTATTTTTACGACTGTTTGAATATCATGCCGAGCTGTTTTGGGATGAGCACTACTTTTGTGATCAACTAAGTGTTGTTTCTGAAATATACTCAACCTTTTCATTGTTGAGGTGAATAACCAACTGTCTAAGCATAGCTGTAGGAGACGATCATCCTATTAAAAATAATTCTGACTTGTTATTGTTATAATCAGGATTGACAACACAGACATTTCGCTAAGTATACTGATAGCCTATCACAAATCTGATTTGTAATCTATGCAACTCTTGTACTTCAGGTTCTAGTAGAAAATCGTCATCCGATACTTCACTCCGAATTTATTTCACTGGATTATACTCTTTTTAAATAACATCTTCAAACCCTAATCTTTTCGATTACTGCTCATACTCTTACTGCCTCTACCACTACGGGATTTGAATCGACAATTAAATCTCTGTGCTAATGTGGTATAGCAACTCGAACTGATGTACGTACGTACGTACGAAGTTCTACATTTTTACTGACTGAACCAAATAACGTTAAGTGTCCTGAGGAACTACTTCTAGTTTGACAGACTCTTATTAGGAATGGTTATCTATCTAGATCCGTCGATAATAACTTAACATCTAGACATCATCTGGAAAAAGCACCGATAGTACGAAGGAAAAGATTTTTTAGCCCCCTGATTATTACGTGACTCCATCTGATATTTAGTTTTGAATCACGTTGTGACGCTATCGTTTCTGTCCTTCTATGGACATATATAAATATGAATGTACAGCTTAAGTAAATGATTTCGCCAAGAAGAGAATTCTATGTTTATTCAATGACACAATGGATTATTTCGATTAATGTCACCATTTTTTATAAGTTTTGACATTGATTGAAATAAAATCTTGTCGAGAAATCTACACACGATAGTATCCTGGGTGAATTGCACACAACTAACGCTAAGTTAATTAATAGGAGCATATATCTGCGATATGATCACTAATTCCTCGTCGAAGTTGCATTGGTTATGGTTATGCATATTATTGAAATAGTTGATAATGGCAACCTTTACCGTAATGAAAACGTCATTGGTGGAGTAATTATGTGAATGAAACTATACTGAAGGACATTTTATCTAATGTGCACGAATCTAAGTAAACTAATCGCATTTTTGTGAATCTTAAATGGTCGCAATGTTCCTTATTAGATCAGTTAAATGTATTTGTTTACTAGTGAAAACACAATGATAATAAATAATGTAGGTGAATTCACTTTACAATCGAAACAGTCAGGTCGGGAAATAGTAGGTGATATTTTGTTTATTCGTGATCGGCTATCAAGTATTGAGTTAGTTGGAAATTGTTTATCAGTTTGGCAATTTTTAAAAGTTCATCTGATGCAATAGAACTAAATTTAAGTTGATATAGTTAAATTTTTTCGATAAACAGTCTCCGTAAAACCTTATTTCAAAGTCAACACAAACTGATAAGTGAATGTAGAACTTTCCATACTAAACAACCATTTTTAGAATATTGTACTGTTTCCATGGTAATACGTTCGTGTGTGTAATGCTGCCTGTATTCTAAACGAAAGTAGCAGTTGACTAGTCGCACATTCGTAATGAATGATTTCTGAAGACATGTTGGGATTCCTTCCAAATTTGTTTATTAGACTGTACGAACATACATATTGGTTTATTTGCTTATATATAGAAGCTTATCGTTGCTGATAATGTACAGTATAAATTTCTTGTTTAGAGATAATTTTACATGTATGGTATGATGGTTGCACCAGATATATATGCGCCACATAAATCTCACTTGATTTGTATGAGGGCTGTGATACTGCCCGGGTGCCCAGACCGAAGCAGGTAATTTTCCTAGGGGGCTACACCTGGAGCCTTCGACCTAAAGGTCTGACCCACAATGCAGTGGAGCATCGTAAGGAGATGCAGTCTCATGGTAGCCGGTGACCTTTATGGTTTGACCTTAACTCCGAAGGTAGAGATTTAGTCAATTTGTAGACAGTTTGATTATGATTAGGTAATATAACTACTTTTTAATGATCACACCTTGAGCAGTAGGACATTGATGAAAGAAATTAAAACGAATCATACACCATTGTTCGCAAAAATTTACTCGAACGAATGTCATCTACGTACCGCTAACTATAGATGTGGACTGTTTTCTTTTTCTGTAAACCCGCCAATTAACACTATTAGATGAATTTAAGAAAAAAAAACGACTTTTATTTCATATTCTATTCACACAACAAAAACATATGATTTACAAGTCTCAATTGTAAGAAGGAAGAACATTTGAGATCACGAATCTTGTAAGAATTGATACTGTTTATTGTAGACCTAAAACAGAGTTAAGCACATGAACTACACCCAAAATTACAGGTTGCCATGCGACCAAATACCGTACCCAATCTAAAAGATTTCCGTATAATAAGTGTGGTTTATCCCATCTAATAATACAGAAATGTTAAGAAAATTAATCACATAAAGTTTTACTACTACATTGTTGTTTCAATGCTATAGACAAAATACTCACAGAATTATTCATATTTGTATGAACGAACACTTTAAAAGCTTCTGGCAGGAAGTGGAGATTATACCCTTTAAGTCAGTCTTAATCTGCTATGTAACATTAGTATCACCCAAGTAGCTAAACAAACTTGTACATTTATTACAATCTCTTAGATAAGAGTTATGAAATAAGCCTGGGTTTAATACCATTCACACAATTGATAATTTATCATGTTACGAAAGGTTAAATATTAATCCATGCGTTTATAATAAACCCTAATAAGCATATTCTTGTCATATATGATTACAATTACAACTTTAGTGAACTTATAAATTGTTTAAAACAATTAGCCGTTTTCATAAATCTGGATAGTACAATAGGTTGGAAGAAAGTTAGGGTTGGCCAAACCAAAACATGGCGCAAATCCATGAAGTCATTGACAAGTGGACTAAGCCATGTTGGTAGGTGTAGACTATCTGGTTGGAATCAGCGAGATGACAGCAACCGATGGTTAGAGACATTGAATGATTGCTCAAAATCTTCATTTCTCTTTATTTTTCCTCTTTTCAAATTTATTTCACTGGATTATACTCCTTGAATAACATCTTCAAACCCTAATCTTTTCGATTACTGCTTATAATTTTACTACCTCTACCACTACGGGATTTGAATCGACAACTGCATCTTTGTGCTAATGTGGTATGACAACTTCTATGTGGTTGCCGACTGACTGAAGACAAAGATTAACAAAACTATGTGATTTATCAACGCAATACATTTCAAACAATCTAATTACATATACACTTATTAAGAATGGTCATATATGAAGAAAATCCAAGGTTAACTAGATAAATGGAAAGTAAGCGGAAACAAAGATAATGATCAAGGAAAAGAATGCGGAACTCATCATCCTGAATAGGAGTGAAAACAAGCTGTTTTTGCATAAAAAAAGGTCTTAATTTTCGTAAGGCTAGGGGACTTCAAATAAACTTTAATACAACACCACAAAAGTTAAGATCAATTTTCTGATCTGTTTCAATGATCTATATGGCATTAGAGGACGATAGATGTTTATCATCTACCCAAATCTAATTGAACTACTAAACACGAATTTAATTGTATAGAGCTTTAATGTAATAAATATCTTCATTCACTTACATAGTGTGCTTGAAATTCATAACAAACTAAACATGAAGAAAAGGTTCAAATCAAATGAATACAGTGGTCTTGAGTGCTGTTAGAAGTATGAGGGCGGTTATCACTTCCCGGTTACCTACACTGTGGAAGGGTTCTTCTGGAGGTACATGGAAAGGAAATTGGATTAGAGGTGGTCATAGTGACCTGAGAGCGTGACCGCAGTGCCCAAGGGACAGCTGCTTGAGGTCGGTCACACACGACCTTTTTATGAGTAGTTTTTGTGTTAGCTCCGTACTTCTTCAGACCTTACCGCCGGAGACGGATATTCATGGGATAGGGCGAGATGTGCATTTTTAGGGTCGACCTTTTCTAACCCCACTCCTCCTTGTGGGAAGGCAGCATCGCTGTTATGCTGGTTGTCTGAAGGAAACACCTTACTGCTGTCACACCTCTATACAGTCAGCAGTACGACTTCGCCTTCAGATCTTGGGCTTGTTGCTTTTAGTCTTACGGTTCTTCGACCAACCTGTCTGGCATGGTAAGACCTTGAGGAACGGTTGTTCCAGTCAGTATAGCTCAGTTACGATAGGCAAGCTCGACCACCACGTCAAGGTAGCAACAACGGTCGGGAATGATAGGAAAATACAACTTGACAACTCAACTGATGTAACAACAACAAAAAAAAGCACAAAGGATACGGGTTTGTAAATGTCTGTTTCAAGTTGACTTTTTCATTGCAATACGGACAAGTATCTTTCTTTCCAATAATACACCAACCTCGAATACAAAAATCGTGAAAGCTATATAATACGTAAATAAGTAATAAGGAGTTAAGCAAAATGATAGATTACAAAATTATATATCGCTTTAAAGGGATAATGATGTATTTTAAAAGAGAAAGAACCATTCCAGGGTGATAACATGTTACTATTAGCAGATGAACTTACGTAAACAAAGACAATTACAAACAATTTACACTAATGGAACAATTTGACAGTCTATTGAAAAACCAATTGAGAAAAAAAAACAGTGAAGAATACAATTGATTCGTATCGATTTTCAAATTAACAAAATAAAAAGCTATATAACTAGTTTATACTGACAAAATATAGTGTCTTTTGATAGCACTGAGCAACAATGCCAGGATGTTTGGGATGCGTTTTTCCCTCTCTAAATGCAAGTCGTTGCTTCAAGACTGGCCTGCGTCAACACCTGAACTAAGAATAGACAGATAAGTAGTCGAACGCGTTGACAACTTCACTTATCTTGAAAGTCTGATTAGCCCTAATGTGTTGGTGTCTGACGAAATCTTTGCACGAATTCGAAAAGCTCGTTTGGCTATTGCCGACTTACATCACTCATGGCGAAGGCGAGATATCCATATATTAATAAAAGGACGGGTATGCTGCGCGGCAGTTCGTTCTGTTCTACTTTACGACTGCGAAACGTGGTCATTAAGAGTAGAAGATACTTGAAGCTACTAGTATTTGACCACAAATATCTTAGAAATATTGCTCGCATCTGCTGGGATGTTCGGGTAAGTAATAGTGAGGTTAGACGCAGAGTATTAAGGAATGATGGTAAGTCAGTTGATGAGGTTGCGAATCTTCATCAACTGAGATGGTTGGGCCACGTGTTACGTATGCCTGAACACTGATTACCACGACTCGCAATGTTGACTAGTATTGGTGATTGTTGGAAGAAAGTTAGGGGTGGCCAAACCAAAACGTGGCATCAATGCTTGAAGTCACTAAATTTTAGTTCTAGCCATGTTGGTAGATGCAGACTACTTGGTTAGGGTCCGCGCAACTATCGTAACCAATGGTTGGAGACTCTTGGTGACATGGCTCAGAACCGATCACCATGGCGTCGGTGTATACACTGTCTGTCTTCCTTTAAACTATGAGATTAAAATCACTTCAAATCTTTCTTTCCACGAACTAATTCTTTCTTTCTGTACTATATCCTTATATACAATCTTTCTTTTATATATTACCACCATTAAATTAACTACTTGTATGAATCCGGTGTTCATCTTGCTGTGCTAGTGAGGTATGGCAACTTGGACCGATGCATATATATATATATATATATATATATATATATATATATATATATGCCTGGTCCTACGTTGCGGCTGACTGATACCCATGATTCATATATATTACAAACATGTAAGACAACATCTATGAGTTAGGTAGCAATTTCAGTAATTCTCGGCTATTATTATGCGTAAATTATATAATCTATGTCAAATCGGAAAAACGAACTGCACATAATGAATAGGACAATCATAATGTTGTGCTTATTTTATTTAGCATCAGCAAACTTAGGTAAACAATACAAACAAAAACAATAGAGTCAAAATCAATTCATCTATCTAAGGAATAAGTTTAAATAAGTGAATATCGGAAACAACAGAACATAAAACCAAGCAATCCTTTGTTTTATGAAAACAAAGTTGTATTCGCGCATCGGAAATTCTAAGAAAGCGCATAACATTAACAACATTAAAGCTACACATGCTTATGTATGATAAGCAGCTCCAGTATTATTCGTTCTTGTTAACTTATGACTCAGATAGTGGGAATCAGTAATACAAACGTCTAAGGTTAAAATGATCATGGTGCAAACTGTTTCGCATACTTGGTGAAATGAGATTTACTAACACTACTAGTAGTGATTGGATTTATTAATCTTTTTTTTATTGTTGATTCTTTATCTTCCATATCGAAATACAATCGCTCACAATGTCCACATTATTGTATTAGAGTGAAAACTGGATGTGATTAGTTTTTCATTTTAGACACTGTTAATTTTTATAAAATTTATGCTTTTAGTGTATTTATGGCACCTATACAACCTATGCACTCATTGACAGATATTGATACTCACTAACAATAATAATAAGCCGTGACCAATGGAGTCTAATCCGTGTCGGATGAAGACAACAGATGAAGGATTGCGCAAGATTATAAATTGATCAAAGTTAGACATTAACACCGTTGAATGCCAGCTCAGTAGCCTAGAGATTAAGTGTTCGTACGCGAGACCGAAGATCCTGGGTTCGAGTCCCCCTGATGCGGGATCGTGGACGAGTAATAGTGGTCTAGCTTAGATTGACTCATGAATTCAACTATTAAAATAATATCTTAATTGAACTTACCAAATTTCCTAAAGTATTTCTTGTGAAAGATAAATATTGGAATGAAGATAAGCTCGAAAATATAAATAAACATTATATATATATAGTGAAAATCTTTACAAAAAAGGATACACATGAGTACAATTGAGTCGATGAACTTTTTCATTACTATCTGATGTTAAATTACTTTTACAAATTGAACATACTGATGGATCAATTCGACGAACTGGCATACCTTGAGGAATTTGATACTTAAAAATGAATGACAAAGAATAATTAGAAGTTTTGATCTTATCAATGATACGTCAAACAAAATCAAAATTCAAATTACATAGACAAAGGAATATGTATATTAGCATTAATATTGATTGCATAAATAGATAGTACTTTGTTAAGAGCACATTCAGTCAGTCAGTCAGCTGCAACGTAAGACCAGGCACGTATATGCATCGGTTCAAGTTGCCATAACGCATTAGCACAACAAGATGAACACCGGATTCATAGAAGTAGTTAATTCAATGGTGGTAATATATAGAAGAATGATTGTGCATAAGGAGATAGTACAGGAAGAAAGAATTAGTTCCTAGAAAGAAAGATTTGAAGTGATTTTAATCTCACAGTTTAAAGGAAGACAGACAGTGTATACACCGACGCCATGGTGATCGGTTCTGAGCCATGTCACCAAGAGTCTCCAACCATTGGTTACGATAGTCACGCGGACCCCGACCAGGCAGTCTGAATCTACCAACATGACTCAGACCAGAAGTTAGTGACTTCAAGCACTGATGCCACGTTTTGGTTTGGACGACTGAGATGGTTAGGCCACGTGCTGCGTATGCCTGAACACCGTTTACCACAATGCGCAACGCTAATCGGTGTTAGGGATAATTGGAAGAAAGTTAGGGGCGGCCAAACTAAAACGTGGCATCAGTGCTATAGGGAACACAAGACAACTCTTAAGAGCACATTAATGCTTCTTAGATTATCAATAATGAATCTATGAATAAATCATAGTGAATTGTACACAAGGTAAGTGCACTGTTCCTATCAATGAAATCGAATGACTAATCACACTTTAACTACTACAGTAATTACAGAAGCATTAACACAATGAGGACGAGAGTAATGACAGCACTTGATTTGTATTCCGGTCACTAATCCTAAAAACCAAGCAGACAATACAATCATATAACTAAGTACCGGTCTCCATTGCTGACTGTCCCAGTTTATAAGAAAGGACAAAAATCCTTTTGTGACAATTACAGAGGATAATAATGATAATGATAATAAGTATAGCCAGATTACTCTACTCACGTAACTGAGAAGCAATATGCAAGTTTTGACGTTTTTTGTAGGGTTGGAGATGTTACATAACATCACCCAAAAAGTTACAACAGCACGGATATATTCATTCTTCACCTTTCTTCAGATTATGAGTTCCAGTATTGTTTTACATACAACTTTTCATATTATCTTTTGGTCTCGAATTCTCAACCTCCAATTTATTCACTATAATAGTTGACACATTAATTCGATTTTTTGCTATTTATCTTGTCGTGTTAATGCGGTATAGCAACTTCGGGCGACCCACATTTGTGCCAGGCCTTATGCTGATGATTTCTGTGTATCCCATCACCAAGTTTTTAAAAATACATTGCGTAACTTACTGATATTTGTGCAGCCAATTTATTTGTACAAACTTCAGCAAAATCTCGTGCAATAACTCCATAATAAAGGCCATAAAACAATGCCAATAAAGATAAATCCACTGAAACCTTTGTAGGCAGAAGGAAGAGCAGATTGACTTGGAAAAATGTTAAGACTAAAAGAACATAGCCACCAACTCCAAGTACATAGGAAACTTTATGAACAAATAAGAACCACCGATAAACTCGTCTATGAGATAAAACAACACAGATAACATTTTGTAAGAAATGATACCACTTGCATTTATTATATTCAAGCAATTTAGATATATAGTAAAGATATTATCAAAGGTTGCCAATTACCGACTTACATTCATTTTATCTAGATGCGCACAGAAGAATAATAGTTTACTTTTATAAAAAGCATGTATACTTTAAAATCTTATGGAAGCACATTCTAGAATCTATTTATATAAAAATTATAAATATTTTGGTTTTTACTTCCATTCAACCGTGTTCTGGCCTGGGGACTTGTCGAATGAAGTAGTGTCCATGAATAATAAGCAATGAGTAGGTGGGTCGTAAAAAATGAATTTATGACACTATTTATCAGAACTATAACTATTATGTAGGTCTTATAATTTACACACCTATACAGTGAAATTATTATGTGTCGAAATGGCCGTACAAGAACCTAACTTGTTCCTGTTTGATCCTTACTTTGCAGTCAGCGATAGTAAATATACAGCCTAGGACAAATATGGGCTGCTTGAAGTTTCTATTTTGAAGCCCGATTTTTATTCATTCCTCATCTAATTAAAACCCAAGTTTCATTCAGTTAATACAAGTAGATAGGTTAGTTTGGTCTAATTTAGACCCTTCATGTTTGACGTTAAAACGCCCAACCATTAGACAATGATTAAATTTTTGGTAGGTCGCTAACCGTGTACATCTCCCGGGACTGACTACGAGCCATCATATTATGTCTATTTAAATACATAAACATTGGTACAAGGCACCAAATATATATACATATATGCTACACAAATCAATCGATGTGGGAGGGCTGAAATACTGTTTGGGTGCTCAAACTAAAGCAGGTAGTTTCCTTAGGAGGGGGATTCCATGAGCCTTTGACCCAAAGGTCTAATCCGTAGGGTGGTGGAGCAACGTCAGGAGATGCAGTCCCATGGTAGCCGGTCATCAATAATTGTTTCATACGCCATTCGCACCCTCAGAATTCTGGAGCCCGTATGCACCGCTGGTTTGGAGTCAGGGCTTTCCAACTCCCCTAGGTCAACCCCTCATATCCACCAACCCGGTTAAAGTGCCAGATATTCGTTCTTCGTCCTTTTAATTTAGTAAACAAAACCCTCGCTACGAGGTAACGAATAGGACTTCCCTGGCAGTGGATGTATACGCGCGGCCATGCGAGAGCATTTCGAGAGGGAGAGCGGATTTTCCTCACCCTCGAACTTACCAGGGCATTCGAGGAACTGGATTGATGGCAGTTAATGGCGGAACCCAGGACGTGAGTTTCGTTCTATTTGGGACTCACCAGGTGGATGTACCTGTATCCTCAAGTTGATGTTCATTTAGGGAATCGGACCCAGTACCGTCCGCTTTAGTTTAATTAAAAACCCAATTAAAAATATTATTAACTACAGTACCACCCACTATAGTATCACAAAGAAAATAATGCACAATAGTAATGAAAAGACACGCAAGCGGATCATAAGATGCGGTTGGTCGGTTCCAAACAACGCAGAAGCTGGCATAAATGTGAGTTACTTCAATACTAAACTGACGAGATGAGGTGAGATTAACGGAGTGATTAGCAAAATCGTCAAAATAACAGTATCAACCATAGTGAGAAAAGCAGCCATGGACAAAACGGTATAGACTGAAGGGATGAATTAGAGGAAAATTCTAAGTAACACTAAAACGAAAGACTAAAACTGTGGATGGGAACGATTAAGAGCATTGACTGGGGATGATACAAAGAGATTACCCAACCCCAGTCCAAAAATCTGGAACATTGGAAGAAAAACTTAAAGGAACTGTTTAGATGGCTTTTACCTAATCTTTGATTACCTACTATTTTCTTCCAAACTGAATGGAAACTCGACACAAGACCACCCACTCTTGACCAGGCTGGAAATCTGACCTGGAGCGACAGGGAAAAGCAGAACTTGATAGGTAAACTCGAGGTTTTCGAGGACGTTGGTCCATTTTCGGCAGTCAAGCTGCCTGAGATACTAGCTAGAGTTTAAAAATCGGACATCAGCCAGTCAAACGCAAAGTATAGACTGATACATACGCATATCGGTCCGAGTTACCATAACCCAAGAGCACAGAGACGAGATTTTTAAGGTCAGTAACATTACTACTAGTACTAGAAAGGATTGTGCATTAAGGTACGGCTCGAGATAGTGTAAGCCAATGAAAAAAGATAAATTAAGTGACTTAGGACCTAAAGGAAGACAGAATGGATGCATCTAGGCCATTGTATGCAATTCCGAGCCATACCATTCAAAATGCTTTTTATAATTGTGCAAAATGCTTCGTGTTCCTTAGTGAACTACAAATAACCCAACGAAGTTCCTAAAAACAATCAAATATGAGTGAATATGAACTATCAGGTTAACTACACCACAAAAGGTGAAAAAAGCAGATTAATATTGCTATTACCTTGGTGTAGTTGTACTTATGCGTCTCTTAGAGGCTAAGTAAACCATAACTCCAGTGGTTAATGAAAATAAAACCCAGACAAAAATGAATCTTGGAAATTCTGCTAGCACGCTGTATATAAACGGTACCAACCACATAGCAATCAAAGTTACAAGCTGGTACGAGCGGAAGTGTCGCTGCTTCCAAAACATAAGCACTAATTGGCAGAAAATTAAACTAGTGAATGCAACCAAAAACATCTCGAGGTGCATTTTTTCATGGCCCTTGTGATCTTCATGGTACTTCAAGTGTTCTATCCTAAAAATCTTAAGTAACTTGTAGAACAGAAGACAAACCGAAACTTCTCTTCAGCTGAAAGTTTCGATAAGTGATATGTCTAAGAGGTTATCATTATTTTGAAATAAGTGATATCCATACAACATTATTGAGCACAACCACGTCAGGATTATCTCCCATCCAAACGGATTCAATTAATTGGGCTACATATGAAGGTTGAGGGTTTTACTACATCTTTTGACACAGCTTAAGTTTCTAGGAGATGATTCAGCATTCAATATGAACTTTCAGATAACAAATGTAAAAGAACAGATGGTTCTTACTAATTTCTTTTCCTCAATATCCAGTGTATATATGGCTAGCTTGTGGTAACCAAGGGTTTTCTTCGAGCTCACTTCAATTTTTTTTCTGAACGATTCCAGATCTCTAATGGGGTCCGATGAGGGTGATTTAGCTATCCGAACCCACAAATACTAGTCATTTAAGTAGTTATTTGTGGGTTAGTACATCCTATAGTCTGAGTGGGTGAGTTTGTCTCAGGGTGGTTATTGTTTCTATGGCTGACAATGACCACATAAGCAAGTAGGTGGTTGGTTGCAATATAGAAGATCAAAAAAAGAATAATCAGAATCCAGATAATAACGACATAATTTGTTAATGACACCTGTATTTGGTACCAAGACTCTGATAATTGGTCCAAATAGTTGTAGATGGAATAGAAGAAGCGTTCTCTTAACTAGCATCCGTGTATAGTAGCAATACTTATCAGTATAGGGTTGTGAAAATTATTGAGTTTAAATTGACATTATGAATGGATCAATGTCAGGTCACCGCTGAAAACCTGGAAGTACTGGACGGCCGTTTCGTCTACGGATCACTGCTTCTTATTAGAAATCCAGGAAATCCATCCTGTGGCTAATCACTAGCGAACACATGATAATTATCATTATAGGGTTGTTCAACCGTGTCTGTTGTGAGGCAATCACTCACTGAAGACGATGGTTGGCGGTCGCGCAATATCGTGGATTGGTGGAAGTTGGAGATTAACACCGTTGGATGCCTGCTCAGTTGTCTGCATGGTAAGCGTTCTCCCGCGAGATCAAGTGTCTTCGATTCGAGTCTCACGTGTGTGATCGTGGGTGCGCACTGCTGAGGAGTCCCACGGCAGGACGAAACCGCCACCCAATACTTCGAGATTTTCAATGGCGGTCTAACATTGATCCATTCAAAATATCAATCTAATAGCATTAAGTCGTCATTTCATTTGTGTTGAAAAGTAAGCGTATGATACAAGCAGAAGTATTGGCAAACTAATATGAAATAGTGTCTCGAGTTCTTACAAGTGTGCAAAGTTTCTTCTTGAGGCACTCCAGAAGAGCTGTTTGCTTCTCGTCAGTTGGTAATGTCTTTCATGACTCGACTATTTATGACAAATAAAAAATGTATCTACAGTCTAGTTGACTGAGTTGTTCCCCCTTAGTTTCTATCGTTTTCCCTCAAGTTCATGCCAGCAATGAACGTAAGTGTTTCAGATAATGTCAAAGGCTGTTTAGGATTCCGAAAGCCTTTAGAAAATGGCCTCCGAGTCTCCTACATTCTAAAACATAAAGATTCAGAGATTTAAAGAGCTACGCGTAAAGCGTGAGTCTCAGCTCACAGCTTAACTGTGGAGATGCTCCAGAATATTGTCGCACTTTATGAGTGAAGGAAGAAACACCATGTTATCAAACTCCGAATGAGGTCGAATAAAACCCTCGAACCAAGTAGATGGTTTTTACTTTAGGTCAAGAATGCGCATCAACGTTACTTAAGAGAGCTCTTCTATAAAAGTATTTTTGTCATAGCTAGCGGGAGATTTTAGATAATAGCTTATCGGAAAATACATTTCTTTTTCAACTGGTGGCCTTCCTAGATGGACATCACCCAATTTGTCCGTACAGTTCGTGGTACGCTGCAGACAAAGCATAATGCACGCTTAGGTATTGTCAGCTGGACACTGAAATCCATTTTTGATTGATTCTATTGAAAGCTCTTGACAAAATGACCAATATCATATCCACCTTTCTGTTCAAATTTAGATTGATAGTGTATCTGTCCACCGTAGCCAGCGGATTTGTATAATTATGGTCTACTATGATATTATCACTACTCTAATAATAGACCTAATCCTAAAATTGTAGATTTGTTATGATGTAACTGCCTAATCTATAAGATCTTACGTGGAAGTCACGTCATCATCCACACCAACTCACTGAATTGTAGCAATTATCAATACATGATAGAGAACAATCTTAGGCTAGAGATGGAACAATATATTTAATATGAATAACAGATATAAGGTAACATTTAACAGGGACCACGCCTGCATGGCCGAGCCATGCCATACGATCAACTCTAATTTATTCAATTCCTTATCCCCGCCTTCTCCACTGTTAGGTGTTTCTCCGCGTTAAATGTTGAATGTCTATTTTCCATATTGTCTCGTGTTAGGGCCCAATGCCACTACAGATTGTCTAGGTAGGAATGTCCCTTTCTGAAGTCGTGCTGTTGAGGTTAAAAGGAGTTTGCATGTAATATCGTCACGTAGGCCGACGTAAACTAGAGGTTCCACAACTTCCTAAGGTTTTAAATGAAAAATTATTGACCAATAGTCATAGAGATTGTCGCTTTGATCTCCTTTGATGGTCGGAGTGATTTTGACCACTTTACAGTTGTCAGGATCGACGCCTTGTCTTGGTGGATGTGATAACAGTAAACTACTAGATGTTTTAGTGCTTGTTTCTGTTTCTCTATACATAAAAGACTGCTTCGTGTCTGGGCTGAGACGTTTATATTTATTTAACATTGCATTTTCCAGCAAGATGGCTCTTTGCTCAGGTCCGGGTGTTTTGATTCTGGTTGAGCTTCAGGTTGAGCTCTCGTCAATGCGGTCTGTAGATGACACCCAGAAGGTATCAAAATGATGTTTGGCTGTGAGATTTGTAGTATTGTTGTGAATGAAAACACAGTCGGTAACAACCAAATGTATTTGAATACAAAATTGCAGAATATCTTGATGAAACCTGAGAACCATACGGTAATACCTCATCTGTAAAATATCCATCAATTGTCTCGGACTTTGTTGTTCTTTTGTTTCCTTACCAATTACTCTTTGTCCTCGTTCTATTCTTTTCGACTCTCAACCTTCTGTTGCCAGGCATTTCATTCTCAATTATTGATACATATTAATTATATCTGTCGACATCAGTAACACACACCACAGTATCCCTATCTTTGTTGCTTAGGTAATTGGGACCTAACAACTGGAAAACTCCGTTTCGGAATGTCAAAAAGAAGAACGATTGCGGAATAACCTTTTCCGATTGATGAACAAACTATCGATAGTCTGCAACTAATACTGGTATATCTTCTCCCAAAAATTGTGTTTGAATTTCTCTTAGCGGTATTTTCCTTTATTCGGCATTTGAGGAGTCGAGCTGTATGACCTTGAGATACTTGCAATTTTTAGAGAATGCTTACTGGACAGATTGATCTCTATCACTCAGAATAGTACACAATAAACAGCTTTTGCATCAAACTGAGGGTGGAATTCCTAATGCGACTGCCGTAGGTTGTACTTTAAGGTTAATATATCCAACTGGGTTAAAACTCTAACACCAGTCATCCGTAGAATGAAGTAGTCCGGTCTTATGTATATAAATAAGACCTAGGCCTGGGTGATCACTTTTTCTCGGATGAGTCAAAGTTGAAAGGTTATCGATTAGAAATTGTTCTTTGGGGAGGACTCATTTTAAGCATAAAATGTTCTAGCTATCTATCCACTGAGTTGCTTATTTCACATTTATGGATAATCCTAGTTCTGCAACGAGGAAAGAGAACAGAACTTTGATAAAGCCGTTTCTTCACAGTATGTGTTTGCCGAAATCATTTTAAAAAAAACTGAAATCTTTAAAGATTAGGAGGCGAGTCTGTTCTAGATAAATGAAATGGGTTTACCCATCCTGTATGTGATTGTCGTGTTGAGTGCCAGCCCGACATCTTTCTGTAGAAAACTCAGACGAGACAACTTGTGGCGTTCGACGATCGCACTCAGCACCATGTAGATTCATTAAAATTGACAGACTGTTGGACGTGCACTTGAAATACTGAAGGGCAGTAGTGTACAAACACAGTAGGTGACCACCTATTCCGGTTTATACGTTGTTGTGAAATCACGACATGTCCGAGATTCTCCTTCCGGTCAGTGTTTCGAGACCTGAGTGTTTCAGTTTTTTTTACCCCATGAGCCTTATTTGTGTCAAATAGTCCACGTAAGTAGTCGATTTTATCTGGCAAACTTGAGAGATCGCGACCCATTTGGAAATGGCTGTAGGATGAGTAATGTGATTCACTCAGTTATTTTAGTGTTTCTTCGAATTTGTTGACAACCAGAACTTAGGGAGTGCATCGGGGTAAAGATTTTCTTTTGATGATTAAATGGGAATGACAGCAGTCAGCTTAATAGCAATTGGTTCTGAAACTGCGAACATTTTTGATATACCTCTGTAATTTCTCGATTCAAAAGACAAGAAGGATAAAGTTGTAGAAGTGTTTTTAACTAATTCAGGAATTTTAACCAAGTCACTTCTAGCCCTGTGTGGCAAGCGAAATAAGTTTGGTTTGAATAGCTTCTAATCTCATTACACCATATCATTTGCTTGTAATTCACAAGCTTAGGCTAACCGAACACTATAAAAATGGAAACTTATCTCTATGCAATGGCTAGAAGCTTCCAATACTTTCACTTGTTGTTTTACGACAATTTTCCATGGTTTTCAGTTCTTAGCTGACTGACCTCTGTATCAGTAATTCTGAACAACTGTTATCTAAAAATCTCCACGGAGTAACTGTATGTTGGTGGTCAAAATATATCATGGTTCACTCGGAGGCGATTGCCAGCAGCTGCTGAACTCCAGACTATTCAGAAAACTGATGTAGCTAGTTCTGAAGCTCGAAACTGACCCGCTCATCTCGAAGAACTCAACATATATTAGGGTTATCAGCATAAACTATGGAGTCAAGAAATACCATTTGCATACATGCACACTGCGTCACTCCAATAAACACGGATTTCCAGCTGAACGACCTGGAGTTCACTTATACTCTTTATCAGGGTGTAACCAGGTAACCGAAGCTGTCTA